GTTATTCCACAGGCCATTAGGCAAAAGCCTTTTGTTTAGACTAGAAATTCATAAGCTAAGAATGGCAGAAGGGAAGAAGAGGTAGAAGGAATTATTAATTCAACCATTTTTTAAGTATGTACAACTGTGCCACTTACAAAGCTTACACCCTCCCAGAGTTTACAATCCAGTTTATACAGTCCAACTTCACATGCCCAAAATTAAACTCCTGGTCTTTTCTTTCAAATCTTCTCTTTCCATGGGATACCCATCTCAACAAACAGCAACGCCATGCTTTCAATTTCTTAGGCAAAACTCATTAAAGATATCCTTGATTCCTTTCTTTCTCTCAGATCCTACATCCGAGTCATCAGCAAATCCTATTGGCTCTACTTACAAAATATACCCAGAACCCTGCCCTGATGGTGTGGCAGAGTTGGTTGGGCATCATACTGCAAAGCAAAAGGTCACTGGTTCAATTCCTGGTCAGGGCACATGTCTGGGTTGCAGGTTTTGTCCTGGTTAGAGTGAGGGCAAGAGGCTACTGATTTGATGTTTCCCTCCCTGTCTCCCTCCCTCCTTTTCTTTGTCTCTAAACAACAAATTAATAAACTCTTTTAAAAAATACCCAATCACTTTTTTCATGCCACTGTCACCTCACTGGTCTAAGCTGCCATCATCTCTATTTCAGATGATTCAATGTCTCTTAATTGCACTCCCTACTTCACCCTTTTCCTCATTGCTGTCTTCACAACACAGAAGCCACAGGGATTCTTAAAATATGAGTCAGATCAAATAAAGTAACTCCTCAGCTCACTATCACCCAATAGCTCTCAACCTCATTCATATTAAAAACCCAAGTCTTTATACATGGCCTATACCCCTTGTGGTATATTATATAATCATACCCAGTTATCACATCCTTTCTCTGTAAGAGGATCATATATTCCCACCATTGTCATGCAAGCATATATTTCTCCCGGCTTATCAGCACTGGCTGTGTGACTTTCTTGGGCCAGTGAAATGTGAACAGAAGGGACAGCGTACCAGTGCCAAGGAGAAGATTTAGAAGGCATTACATGGTTCTGTAAGCTCTCTTGCTTTTTTTTCCCCCATGAAATTGGATTGTATCAAATAGGGACTGCTCCTTCAGCCCAAGTCCCAGAATACAACTTGAAGCAGCAACTCACTCACAGAACATGAGAAGAAATAAATTTTTGTTGTTGTGTGTTAGACTTGGGGGACATTTGTTTCTGTAGCAAAACTGACTAATACATACCCCCATCACCTCTCTAACCAACTTCATCTCCTAGTCTTCCCCTCACTCACCCTGCCCCAGCCATCTTACTGTTTTCTTAAATGTGACATATATACTCCTGCCCCAGAACCTTTACACTTACTGCTTTCTCCGCCTGGAAACACCCTTCTTCCCTCAGATAGCTGCATTTTTGCCTCCCACCTGTCTCTTAGATCTTTACTCCAATGTCGCTTAAGTGAGACCTTCCCTGACTGTTCGGTATAAAATTGCAATATCTTCACTCTACAATCCCTCTCCCCTTCTTACTTGATTTTTCTCTTTAATAGTTATCATCATCTAAAGTACTAATTATTTTGCTCCCTTATTTTTTGCTGCCTATCTCCCCCCTAGAAAGTGAACTCTAACAAGGTAAGGTTTTAACCTCTTTTGTTCCCTGTTGCATTCCTAACACCTCAGACAGCATCTGGGACATGCCAGTTTCTCAGTAAGTATTTCTGGAATGAAGAGTGGTAGTAGTGGGGGTGGGGTGATGCGGTGTGTGTGCATGCATGCGTGTGTGTGTGTGTAGGGTAAGTTCACGTGCTATTCTTGAGTATTTTAAGTCAAGTGCAGCTGGAATAGAATATGGAAAGGGGTACATTTACAAAGTCTATTTTGAAAAAAGGACTAGGTTCCAGATTTGAAATTATGCTACGGCTGGAAAGTGGGATGGACACTTGACAGGCTGAAGAGATGAGTGAGAGCCATCCCTTTGCAGAATACTTAAAAAATAGAAATTCCTAATTGCCAGAAACATAACATGCTAATTACATCATAACTTCCTAAGTAAAGACAATTATTTTAAATCACTTCGTTTGCTATGAAACAGTAAATAATTACCTCTGAAATCCAAGGGATAGTCTTTCTTGGTTTTTTTTAAAGATTTTATTTATTTTTAGAGAGAGGGAAAGGGAGGGAGAGAAATATCATCAAACCAGTGACCTTTTGGTTCCCAGTCCCGTGTTCAGTCCACTGAGCCACGCCAGCCAGAGCTAAGGGATAACAGTCTTGTACAAAGTTAAAAGTGCAGACCTTGGAGCCTGACCCCTGGGTCTCTGCCTCCACTGCTCACAGCTTTTATGTCCCCTCAGGCAAGTTACCTGATCTCTTTTGAGGCTTCTGACTACACATCATAAAATGGAGATGAAGATAACAGCATTAATAAATTGCCTACCTAAAAGGGTGGTTAAAATTAAATTAAAAAATACATGTAAATTACTTCAGATCATGCCTGGCACATACCAGTCAACAGACATGAGCTATCACTATTACCATTTGAAAAAATACATGTGAAATATCCAAAGGAAAAAATATGTGTGTCCAAACACTTAGATACATACACCCACACTTTGGTCAAAATTCAGTAATCAAGGCATGAGGCATAAAATAAACTCATGATGTTTTGACTCTAGGCAATTGTAGGGTTACAGACCAGCTATCTCTAGGTGTGTCTTAGTGGTATGTAGATTCTTTTGAGCTAAAGGCAACCAAAACCCTTCAGCCTCAAGAGAAACCTCTGCTCACTGCCCTTAACTGTCTAGAAGAAATTAAATCAGGAGCCTGACCTACAATGAGTTAAAACCAGGAATGACTTTTTAAGTTCCCTGTCTAATGGCAGGGCAAACTAGTAATTACTGAATATACGCTCTCCTCGGAATAACCCTTTGAAGCCAGGGCGCATTACCTCCTCTGTAGCTCAAAACGTCATATATACCTCAATTTCTCTTTCTGTCTCTGAACCTCTCGTGCATGTGGAGTCTCCAACTCTCTCATGTATGTTGGGTACCCATACATAGGACTATGTTAAATTTAGTTATTTTCTCTGGATAATCTGTCTCATGTTTATTTGATTATTAGACCAACCAAAAGAACCTTGAGGGCAGAGAAAGTTTCTTTCTCCCCCTTACTCTGAAAGAATATTCGGTCTGTGTTGGATTATTAAAATGACTCAAACAGTGTAAGATGACTGCGTTGATGTTGATGTAACTTTATTTCATGATATCTTTACAACCACCTTGTGAGGTATGTTTTATTACTGCCATTAAACTGATGAATCAATTGAGAATTAGAAGATCAACAATTTGCCCGGGGTCACTCAGCTGGTAAAACATAGAGCCTGCTTTTAAACCCTGCTGGTTATGTCAATGGGAGCAACCTGGTTCTTCTTGCTGACACATGTAAAGAGTTACAGATCAGCAAATCTATTAGTGTGCATATCAGGGTTTATTGATGATCCATCCCCATGGAAGAGAACAGGCCCAGCTAAGGGTGGGGGTGGGGGGTGATAAAGGCTTCAGAGCAAAGCAGGACAGCAAAAGTAAGGGCAGCCGAAGGCCCGAGGCTGGGATGGCAAGTGTCACAGGTCCTTTGGTCTGAGGACTTGTATACTTGGCAGGACGGGAGTAAAAAAGTTTCATATTGATTGATCGGTAAATGTGGTGCCAGCTTTCCCCAGGGAATGTGACTACCCAAACTTAGGTATATGTAGGGTCTGTTAGCCCAAATCCTTATCTTGCTCCAGACTCCATTAGTTCATGTTGTTGTAAAACAGATACGTGACAGAAGGCAGTTAACTAAAGTTGGGGCAGTTACCTAACGTTACTTATGGGCTCTTTCTTTAAGCACTAGGGACTCCCTCAAAAAGAGTCAGTGACCAGAGGTAGGCAATTAACCAAAGTTGTTTTATGCTCTTCTTCCTTTGGGCACTATGGACCCTCTCCTGCCTTTCAAGCTTTGGGATGAAAGTAGGGTTTCAAAGGCTTTCTTTCCCAAATAGTGGAAATGCTACATAGAACTTCAAGGACTTCCCTCCTCCCATGCTAACATAATGTTTCCTGTGATCTTGGAACACCTCGCAATATTATCAGACAAGGCACAGGACTGCTGAGTTAGTGGGTGAGACACAATTCCCCCCTCCTCTCTGCCTGGTTTGCTATTCATTCTACCTAAATGCTAAAAGACATTTTCTGGCAACCAGGATGCTAGATGCTGGCCAGTAACAGCAGCTCAGTCTCACAGTTCTTTCTATGCTCTCCTGCCTCGGTTAGACTCCTGAAAGCACACTCTTAACCATTTAATAAGACAGGACATAGGTGAGCATTGAGGAGATGACCAGGATTTGATGTCATGGCAAGGCCCCTGGCCAGTGTTACATGCTGTCAAAATTACTGAGCAATTCCACAGAAACTTTTGGAGGCATCCTCTCACAGCACAGATAAGGACACAGTGGTTATGTGTACACATGCTAGGACAGAAGTACTATTTAAATTATGTTAATTTTAAAATTATGTACATATATGCACACTGCAGGCCTGTGTCTGCCCATGGACCTCAAACCTGTCTTTGTAGCTGGGGCACCTGCCAGGGAGCCAGGCACAGGGCGGCACAGAGCAGTTTCCTGGGTGCGGAAGCACAGCAACAGGCGGGGGCAGCTGTGTTCTCTGTGGTGCCTGAGGCTGAAACCGTGAAGTGTCGGCAGGTCACTGCCTGGTGCTTCAGCTGAATGGCTGCGCTGCAGTGGCAAGGCCTGTCAATGAGATCATCGTTGCAACAAACCCTTGCCCACGGAACACCCATTCTATGAAGATACATGTTGATCTAGCTGCAAGCTTTAAACTTAAAAAACATATTCTCATGCTTACTAAATGATAACGCTTACTATTTGAAACTGTAAACCAGACACTTCCTAATGTTATTCTCTCTTCGGGCAGTCTAGGTCACAGCTATGGCTCAAAAATCACAAAAACAGAAGAGCTCGGCCATGAAAAAAATGATAAAACATGACAAGAATAAGGAGATTCCACTTGGTAGGATTGTCTTTTCATTAATGGGGTTTTGTATGGTTTTAGTGTTTATCCATATATTAGCAGCAAAAATGATCATGGTTTTATGTATCAAATAAAGTTAAATATTTTGGCTGTCAAAAAGCTAAACACAAGTGGAATTCAAAATATGGGCATTTATCCTTATTTTGTATTTATTTCATTAAACTATCAAATAAATGCTATAGGAAACATATCATTAAGAAATAATTCTATGAGAAAGACAATTATTCCAATTCTATTTAATTATGCATAAAATAAAGACTTCATTGTATATGTGCATTTACATTTTGTGTTTTGAGGCCTGGTCAAAAAATTGTAATAAACTAAGATATGTATTTTATTCAAAAGATGTAAATTTGACATCATTTTATTATATTCTAGCTAATGAAGAAGAGGAACCTGTAAACATGGAGAGTATGGGTAAGTAAAATACAATTTAGAAATTGTCCCCAGTTATAATATTTCAATATGCAATAAGCAAGTGAGAATACTACAAATTGAAGTGATTAATAAAAATGTCTGTGGACGGCCCTAGCTGGTGTGGCCCGGATTGAGCACTGGCCTGCAAACCAAAGGGTCACCAGTTCAATTCCCAGTCGGGCACAGCCTGGGTTGTGGGCCAGGTTCCCAGTAGGGGTTGTGTGAGAGGCAACCACACATTAATGTTTCTATCCCTCTCCTGCTCTTCCTTCCCTTCTGTCTAAAAATAAATAAAATGTTTAAAAAGATAGAATTTTTTAAAATTGTCTTTAGAAAAAACCAAAATGTACATGGACTAAAATTACATCAGGTCATTTAGAATATAAAATGAAAATTCTTCAGGAAAGAATAAAAAGCAATAGCCAAAGAGAGAATTTTAAATGAGAAATAGGCACAGGTCAGCCAGTCACTTTAAAATCCAAATTGAATGATTTTTGAGAGAACTTTTATAATTATAAAGTGTAACTCAGCAAATTATTACTTTTAGTAGAATAATATTTTTTTTTTTAAAACTCTGGCTCATGAGCCATATTTTTTCTCTACTTCACAGTAAGATTCTACTATTTCAAGGAGGAAGACTGATTTTTAAGCAAAAAAACACTAGAACTTAGACAACCAATCTAATGTTGGTCCTACTTTTAGAAGCTAAATAACTAACAAAACATTATTTTTGTTGTTGTTGAAACTTTCCCTTAGACTTGAACTAAACGATTCACTTCATGTCTGGAAACAGAGCAAACAGAGAGGATGGAAAAGAGAAAGCTCTGAAAGCCTCGTAGACCGCTGTAAAGATTTTGGCTGTTAATCATACAGGATAGGCAGCTATTGGCAGTATTTAAGCAGAGGAGTGATGCGATCTGACATGTTTTGACTGGGTGACCCTGGCTACTCTGTTGAGAAGGGCAGTGGCAAGGACAGAAGCAGAAAATGGTTAGGAAGCTATTGCAGCCATTGAGAAGGGGGTGTGTTTGTCGGACCAGGGTGGCAGAGAGGGTGAATATGTGGAGTGCGGAGGTGGGGAGAGGGTGGAGGGTGTAAGCTAACAGTAAGGGGCATTGGAGCAGGCGATGGCACCCAATAAATATTTACTGAACTAACAAATGCATCACCCAGAAACGTGGGAGTCATTTTTGACCCCTTTCTCCCCCTCTTGGCCTCCTCATTGCCATTTAAACCATCCTGGTTTCTGTCAGTTCCACCTCTAAAATACATCTCAAATCCATCCATTTCTCATTATCTCCGTATCTACTACCTTAGTCCAAGCCTCCACATTTCTCCCTTAGATGATTTATTTAGATCATACCTGGTATCACCACTTCCACTTAGCCTTTGATCCATTCTGCACATGGAACCTGCCATGTCTCTTTCCTGCTTAAACTTTCCCATGGCTTCTCTTTGTCCTTATAGTGGTCCTGGCTCTGCCTTCCTCTCTGATCTTTTCTCTTCATTCTCTGCCCCTATCTATGGTTCACCAGTCTTGCCTAGCACAGAACACGCTAAATTTGCTTCTGCCTCAGGTACTTAGATAGATCTTTCCCCAGATCTTTATGCAGCTCTCTCCTCATCATTCAAATCCAGACTCCATACCCACCTCTGGAGGGGGCATTTCCCGAAGGCCTTTCACCTAGTACCCTTGCCTTCATAGCACTTAGGAAGTTAAAGTACAGTCGGTTCTCATTATTTATGGAAGGTCACAGTTGCTATGAACACTTAATGAGCAAATACTGAGCCATTGCTCTTGGGGAAATACAGGGTTGGGCTCCAGTGTGGCTTTGGTCATAGCACTTTCATTAACCAAGCAATATATAACATGTTATATGTGTTCCTTTTTAAAGACACTTTATTTAATATACATTATTCATTCGTTAACACTGAACTCACAGATAACAGCACTGTAACTCATGCCTTACCCATACTTATCTAATATATGTATTTTCTCCACAGAGCACATCGCAGCCTTCTTGCACTTAGGAACATTATACAGCACTTCAGCACCACACTTGGGTATCCTGTTTAAAGAACAAAATCATCAATAAAAAGCACAAGAATGTGGAAAATGTGGCACTAAATAGACAGTGGAAGGGACACTTGTTTCCAGTGTGAAAGCTGAAACAAGCTGGCAGAGCATTGTCTTGTCTGACCTCCGCTGGCAATGTGCACGTGGACAACCCAGATTTTTTACCACTCTAAGTATGTCCACCAATAACCATGAAAGTGCCACTCTATTGATTTTAGGGTTACAAACAAATTTTAGGGAGTTTGCAAATATAAAATGCATAAATAATGAGTGTTGACTGTATTTATTTGTTAATGCATTTATAATCTCTCTACACTCTCTCTTATACTCTTTCTCTCTCCCCAACCTCCTCTCTCCAAGGGAACAGAAACTCTCTTGTTCACCATTGTACTCCAATGCTTAGAACAGGCCTTCGCTCATAATAAGTACTCAATAAATATTTGTTGGTTGATTGGTAGAATGAATAAATAAATGAATTGCTTTCCCTGTTCTTCCTGTGTAAATAAACCCACCGCTACTCTTACCTTCCTTAGTTCTATTTCTTCTAGCTAGCACTTGTCACAATTTGCACTTATATATATCTGAGTGTATTTGTTTAATATCTGTATACCTGGCACTAGCATTATGCTTTTCACATAGTAGGTGCTCAATAAATATTTTTTGACTAAATAATTGACTGGCAAAAAAATCCAAGAACCTGAGAAGGGACATGGTAGAGATGTTTCAGCTGTAACTGAAAAGACTGAAAAATAGAAGTGAGTATGCTTGTGTAAGAAAAACAAACAAACAAGCAAGCAAGCAAACAAACCTCAATACTTCTTAGTGAGATTTGAGGTTAGGTTTTGAGTTAGTACATTATACTAGAACCTCTCTCCAATCAACGTCCAGAGACTCTTCTCAGGGTGACATCAGGATCCCTTTGACTTTCTTGCTATGGGACTTTCTCAACATTGTCAACTGTCACTCAGGGCTCATGGTTTCATGTTCCAGGAGAACAGTATCCCCTTTCCTACCAAGGAAACAAGAGATCGCAGACCAGCTAAGCATTGTCGCCTAAGGGAACGAAGGGTAATGTCTAGAGGTTTCTAGAAAATATGTATAATTTTTACACATAGCTAACATTTATGGAGCAACAGCTTTGTGCCACACACAATCCAGTCATCCCTGTAACTCTATAATGTAAGCATTATTATGGCCATTACAAGATGGAGGTCTTGTGACTCTCAAAAGTTAAATAATTTATCAAAATTATAACTACAAGTCATACTTTAATACAGGTTGGCATATAGGTGGTATATGGGTTGTATATTGCTACTTTAACACATTACCACAAGTTTATTATCTTATAGTTTTGGAATAGGTGTGTGAAATTACTTTTACTGGGACAAAGTCAAGGTGTTAGCAGGGTTGGTTCTCTCCGGAGCCTCTGAAGGGATAATCTGTTTCCTTCCATTTTTTCAGCTAAAGACATCGTGTTTTCATTGACTCTTGGACCTTTCCTCTATCTTCAAAGCCAGCAGTGTAGCATCTTCTAATCTTTCTCTCTCTTTGACCTCTGCCTTCCTGTCACATCGCTTTCTTTGATGTTGACTCTCCTGCCTTCCTCTCCTAAGAACCCTTGTGATCACAGGGAGCCCACTTCAGGAGCCCAATAATCTCCCCATCTCAAGGTCATTAACTTAATCCATCTGAAGTCCTTGTCATGTAAGGTAACATATTCACAGGTGTCAGAAATCAGGACATGGATATATTTTGGGAGAACATTATTTTGTTCGCCACGAGTTATTAACAGCACAGGTTTTGGAATTAGACAGACCTGGTTCAAATCATAACTCTGCCACTTAATGCCTGTGTGGCCACAAATGACTTTGCTTCTCTGAGTCTCATCTTCCTCATCTGAAGAATGAGGTAGTGATACCCACCTCATGAGGTAGTTGCAGAAGTTAAATTAGGTAGTACACACACATTTTCTTACATCAGGCTGTCACAAAAAAAGGTGCAATTTAATTATTTATACTGTACGAAAAGATACCATATATCTGAGTGATAGCTTGGCAAGGTGTATAAATGTCTAATCACTATGTTGTATACCCGGAACTAATATAATATTGTATGTCAACTATAACTGAAAAATAAATTTTTAAAAAAGAAACTATAAAAATAGAGAAATCAATGAATAAATAAGAATGAAGAGTCCCAGTGCTAGCTGGTGTGGCTCAGTGGATTGAGTGCTGGCCTGTGAATCAGAGGGTCTTCAGTGTGATTCCCAGTTTAGAGCATATACCTGGGTTGCAGGCCAGGTCCCCAGTAAGGGGCGCACAAGAGGCAACCACACATTGATGTTTCTTTCCCTCTCTTTCTCCCTCTCTTCCCTTCTCTAAACTAAATAAATAAAATCTTAAAAAAAAAAAAAAAAAGAATGGAGAGTCCCAAATTAGACCCACATATATATGGTCAATTGATTTTTAACAAGAGTGCAAAGGAAATTCAGTGAGGAAAGACAGTCCTCAACAAATGATGCTGGAACAATTGCATATCTATATGCAAAAAAAGTAAACTTCAATCTATACCTCAGATCATATAAAAAATTCAAAAGATAAAGATTTCCTAGATACCACACCCAAAGCCATAAATCTTAAGAAATTTCTGCCTAATCAATTTTTTTATGGAATACTAGTTAGAAATACAAAAATATGAACAATTGCTACATGCAACCACGTAAACAAATCTCAAAATAATTATGCTGAGTAAAAGAAGACAAACAAAAAGAGTATATACTTCACAATTGCACTTATAAATAGTCCATAGAAAATCTAATTTATAGTAACAGAAAGTAGACCAGTGGTTGCCTGGGAGTGAGGCAGGGGTGCTGAGAGGAAGGGGCATCAGGAAACTCATGGAATTATGGATGTGTTCTTTATCTCCATTATGGTGCATGTATTTAGTAAATTGTACACTTTAAGTACATACTTTATTATTTGTCAATTAAATCTCAATAAAACTGTTTTTAAAAAAGTAAACAGCAACCAAAAATTGTCTTAAAAAGATACAGATGAAATGCATGGAAGTTATTTAAATGAATTCTGTTTCAATATACAGGACATAATGTGTATTGAATAGGTCTCTTTGTTACACAGTAAGATTCTGAGGAGTGAGCTGTGCAGAGTGTGAGTCTGTTTTTGGCCCCTGCTCTATCAGTCTACTAGGTAAATAACTGCCCTTCACTGCATCCTGTGGAATGTAATCCCTATTACCACTCTGAATGTGTGGAGAAGGAGCAGGACCCTCTCCTGTGCTCCGCTGCCTTTACACATCAGAGAGGAAGTATAGCAAGGTAGTTAGAGTGTAGGCACCTTGGTTTGACTCTCAGCTCCCCTGTTCCAACTCCTAGCTCCTGACCTTAAATATGGTATTTGAATTCTGTAGGCCTCTGTTTCCTCAGCTAAAGAAAAAAATGGAAACTGCCCTGGCTGGTGTGGCTCAGTGGATGGAGTGCCAGCCTAAGAACCGAAGGGTCGCCAGTTTGATTCCCAGTCTAGGGCACGTGCCTGGGCTGCAGGCCAGGTCTGCAGTAGGGGGTGTGCGAGAGGCAACCACATATTGATGTTTCTCTCCCTCTCTTCCTCCCTCCGTTCCCCTCTCTATAAATAAATAAAATCTTTTTTAGTAAAATGGAGACAATTATAGTAACTAGCTCAGAATTTTTTTATGAACATTAAACCAATTGATCACCCATGTAAAGTCCTTACAGCAGCACCTGGCATGCAGTAGGCACTCTACAGAAGTTACAATAATTAACATGACCATTATTTACCCACATCGTTATCCACTCACCAGCCTAGCCTGGCACCCTCTCCGGCAAGTCTTGCCCTTGTGGCAGGACTCCTGACCTCCTTAAGCCTCAGGAGGCCCTTCTCCTCTGCTCCATCATCTTTCTCACCCCCCTGGAGCAACCAACATCCCACTCGGCTGGGGGCGTGACCGGGCCCGTAGCCTACCTCATTGCTAATCACCGCAGCCTCATTGTTGTATGCCTGGGGTGCTGTCCTCAGTGTAGACCTCAAAGCCTACATGACAGCATTCTTTTATTGAATTTTGCCAGAGACCCTTGGGAGTGGCCAGAAGCATCAGGCCTTACTGTATTTAGTTTGGCCATTGTTCAAGCTGGTCTTGAAGGTAGCAGACTGTGGGAGTTTTGTGTGTCTACTGGTTACCAGTTGCCTGAAGTTATCACTGATGCTAATTGCAGCTTGTTACAGCATATTAGTTTTATTACTAGATAAAGGAAAGTCAGAGACTATGTTAAAGTTGCCTTGATAACACCCAATTAGTGTAAAAGGGTCATTTTAGGGAAAAATGTCCAGCTAGTAGAATTTGAAGCATGTTTGGTGGGGGGAGGTGACATTGAACATGACCTTTGTCACTGTCTTTTCTGTTTCTTGGATGGTAGAAGACTTTCTGGCCTTTGCAAATGCCTCCGCTTATGAAGGACGCCACCTTCGTTTTGGCTGTAGCCTGAGTGGGCCTTACAGTTCCACCTAGTGGTTTTCAAAGGCAAAACTGCAAAACTTTATATTATGCATTAGACATTACAAATTATCCTTGGCAGAATATTTTCAGAGGATAATCTGTATGTGAATAAACTCAACAGTTGTTAATCGAGTATTTTCTACATGCCAAAAGTTAGGGCTAGCCCTTTGAGGAAGATAAAAATGGGCAGTTGCCTGTAATTTATGAACAACTCGTATTCCAAACATCTATTATGCCAACAGGTTGCAATTTGGAACGTATTTCCATATATATAATCAGTGTTATACATTTAGTCATGAAAACCCCAAAATTAGCTGAATAACTTGTACCATAGAGCCACTAAAGTGAGGGGTAAATGTTTGTGTGGGAAAGTTCAAAATTGCAATGTAAGAGGCCACGTGCACTTCTCCCCTTGACGCACCTGTTGAGCGGAGGGAGGGGGGCTCTCAGGACATCCAGGCATTGCAGGGCCTGCAGAGGGTGAGAGCGGCTGGCGGACCCTGGGGGAACAGAGTGGGGGCAGGGAGTTCTGGGGACAGATGCGGAGCTGAGACGGTGGTGCCGGAAGCTGATGGTGGTAAGAAAATGAGAAGAAGGCTCGTTAGAGGAGAAGGCAACAGGCAAGACGGTACCTATCCTCTTCCATCCCCTGTCCCAGGGCCCGCTGCAGCTGAGGACTGGCAGGGTGGAGGACAGGGAGTTGCGGGGAAGGCGGGGTGGGGGTGGGGGGTTCGGGGGAGTTGGAGAAAGGGACAGGGCCGACAGGAAGAAAGGAATGAAAACTTCTCGAGCCTCGTTTCCCTCTTTGTCTGAGGGCTAACCCAGGACTGAGGAGCCACAGGAGGGAAAAGGGATTCCCTAACCCCGCTTTCTCCCCACTTCCAAAGGTTTGCTAATACAACTTCACTGGGAAGTCAGTAGCTTTAAGATGTGAAGAATGTAGTAACACATTTAACTTTGAAAAGTAGGAGCCTAGAGAGCAGAAGTACCTATATAAGGTCAAGAGAAGGTTTCTTTAAAATGAAATACCATTGGACAAATCTGCATGCTGAGGGAAAAGAGCCCAGAGGCAGGACAAGTTGAAGGGGGAGGAAAGGTGAATGGGTCTTCATGGCTGAGAAGGGTGGAGAGGGGCAGCAGGTCTTCTGAGAGGAGGGAAGGATGGAAAGGCGGTGCCTGTGCCAATCAGCTGGGAGACAGGGCTGCAGGACAACCAGGATTCTGTGCTGTGCAGACAGGGAATTTTTTCTGTGGAATAGGAAGTGAGGTCACCTAGTGAGAGAGAGCTACAGGGGAGGGGTGGGGGGTGGGGTGCTTTACAAAAGCAATGCGGGTTTGATAGAGCCTGAAAAGGCGATCATACCTTCGAACCAATCATTTCATATTTAAAAACTATCAAAAAAGTTTGAAATGTGATTTAAAAAATTATACATTAGATATCTGTTTGTAGAATTGTTTACAATTATTTGAAAGAAATGCAAAAAAGTTATGTTTATCAATAACAACAATTAAAAATTGTGCTAGTTATATTAATTTAAAATACGTTAGAAAGATTGTATAATATCAATAGTGAAATACTTGTGACATATGGTAAATATTAGGGCAGGATTTAAAATTTCATGTAAGATACTACGTATGGAGTGGCTAGAAGGAAACAGGTCCTCCCTTGAGACAGTATTAGGTGTAATTGTTATTTTCTTTTTTTATCTTTTTTTGGACATTTTTTTATAATGGATAGACTTGCTTTAAAAGGAAGAACAATAATTTTTAGACTCTTTTAAAAATTTTAATGGAGACAAGTATTTAAAGCAAATAATTGCATGTTTCCTGTTCCAAGTATTTTAAATGGTTACATTTAATGTCACAATTCGATTTTGTCTTTCGTAGGTCATCCAGAAATTTATCCTTTAGTGCTAACTACCAAGACCCAAGAAATATTTAACTGCCGAATAGATGAAGACCTGACAGATGAACAACCTTACAAGCTTATCAAAAAACAAGATATTTTGGCAGACTTTCACAACAGAGCTGCAGTATCTGATTTCTACCCAGTCAAAAAAATTATCCAGGTAAGTACAACATCCTTCTTCATTTTTCAGTCTGTTTCGAGGGGTTCCTGGTACATAATAATAAAAGTAGCGATTACTGCATTCAAATCTGGCATTTGCCATTACTATGGACAAATACTAGCTTGCCTACACCTTCTTGGGCATCCTGTTTGATGATTCTCTGTGAAAAGCAAACACTTGTCAATGACTGTCTTATCCCACACCCAGAAAAGCTGATCCTTGCCCAGTTTTAATTAGAGTAGGAATCTACCCTTATTTCCCCATACTGCTCTAATTGTTTAATTCATCATTTTGGTCCTGATTTGTCTCCTAGCATGCAACAGAGCATAACATCAAATAAAAAGAATGCTTCTTTATTTTCCTGTTAGAAATATCATTGCATAGGAAATTTCCCTGTTTGGACCTATTGTGTTTTAAAAGATTTTTAGAGTTAATAAAATATTTTTGCAATTTGGGCTTATTAGCCATAGATTAGCACTATGGTTATCTTTTATGATGGATTGATTAGAAAAATATCAATTTTGTGGTGATGTCTGAATAAATCAAATGACCACAGGACATCATTAACCTTCATGGACTTTCTCTTACTATTCAGTAGCATGTTGTTTAATCTCTACATATTTGTGAATTTTCCAGTTTTCTTTGTGTAATTAATTTCCAGTTTCATACCCTTGTGGTCAGAAAATATGCTTGATATGATTTTAACCCTCTTAGATTTATTAAGACTTGTTTTGTGGCCTTACATACAATCTAGCCTTTAAGATGTTCCATGTGCACTTGAAAAGAATGTACAGGGGTACCCAAAAGTAGGTTTCCAGTTGTATGTGAAGCAGTTTTTTCTTGTATTTTTATTTATGACTTCTTGTATTATTTTCCCTACAAACAACTGTAAGCCTACTTTTGCCCACTCTTATACATTCTGTTGCTTTTGGATGGGATGTTCTATAACCTTCTCTTTTGATTAAATAACTGTAGGAATATCCTGGAGATGAGCTTCTGGTTGTTTACGACAAAGACTTCAAATATGGACTTAACTTTTATATCATTGGAACTGAAGAGGGCAAGGAAAACTATTTCAATGTAAGCACACCCAAGCCCTTGTATTCTGTGGATTGTCAGAAGGAAGTGGTACCTTTGGGGGGGACCTATGCTTGGTTATGATCCTTCTTGTTCAGCTCCATTCCCCTGGGGCCTAGACCAGGTTCTGGCACCTAGAGGAGGTGAGTGGTAACTGTGGGATGAACTAAGTCAAACATCCTAGGGTAGCAGGTACGCTACTGATTTGCTTTACTGACCCAATGAGAGCGGAAACAGCAACTCTGGAGTACCACTGCTCTCAGCCACTCCTTGGCCCATATCCCTGGTTCTTCTCTTACCATCTCTATAACTTGAGGTAAGTCTGCACTTGTCTGCAACATGGTGGTGCCAATAGTACCCCTTTCCCGGGCTGTTGTGAAACTTAAATGGCCTGGTACAGGGTAAAGCCCTTTGTATAGGGCCTGACACAAAGCTGGGGACTCCATAAATGTTTGCCATGATTACTTAAAAGCGAGATTTTAAAAGGAAGACTTGGTCAGTGGGCAGTCGATGGGGAGGCATGCAGAAAATAAAAGAATGATGATTTCCAAAGAAAAAATCAGTTCACCTTTAGGGTTTTTTTTTTTTAAATGTTCATGGAAGGTAATGATTTTCTGAGACTTGCCTTCTGATCTGGCACTCTTGTGGGGAGGTTTGGTAAAACTGAGGTAGACAGAGGGTTTTGAATGGTTGTTCAATAAACAAGGAAAATTAAAGGAAAGCATAGCATTTAAAAATAACTAACACTTTTTAAACTAAAGATAATCTTTTACTTAGCCTTAACATTTTCAATTTTACTTTTATGGTTGTTTTTCTTTGTGTTCAAATTTTTTTATTAGTCTTATGCTGCTTAACAACAGGGACACATCTGAGAAATGTGTCGTTAGGTGATTTCCTCATCATGGGAACATCATAGAGTCACTTACACAGTCCCAGATGGAAGAGTTTATTGCTCCTAGACTACCATTACTGTCTAAACAACACGAGATTAAATCAAGCACACAGCAAAATGATGCAATCAAGATATGTGGTAAACACAAGATGTTTGTGGTTGCTACCGGTGTAACATGTCATGTTGTATTTCATAGCAAACTTATTTTAATAAGCAGGAAGAGCACATTCTACAATAATGATAAAAAGTATAGTAAATACATAAGCCAGCAACATAGAAGCCATTTTTTATCATTATCAAGTATCATGTACTAAACATAGTTGTACATACTATACTTTTATACGTCTGACAGCACAGTAGGTTTGTTTCCACCAACATCACCACTAACACATAAGAATTGCATTGTGTTATGACTTTACCATGGCTCCAACATCACCAAGTGATAGGAAATTTTAGCTCTATTATAATCTTATGGGACTATCATCATTGACCAAAATGTCATTATACAGCACATGACTATGTACAATGACATGTTTTCAAACATATAGAAAAATACAGATAATAGTATAATAGATATTCACATAATCAGTATCCAGAATTAACAAATATTAATGTCTGATCAAATATACTTTATTTTTTAAAGAAATAAAATATAGTAGATAATGCTTCTCTCCCCCTTGAATCCTCTGTAATTCCACTTTTCCCTATAAGGAACCATTATTCAAAGGTTGTTATATTTTCTTTCTGTACATGGTTTTTTATTGTTACCATATATGAATACTCCATAAATAATGTATTTTATTGTTTTGTTAAAAGTCACATAAAGTTATGCAAATTATTCTGCAATTTTGTTTTTCATTAAATTATAAAATTCTAGGCCCCGTCCATGTTGTTATTTAGATATTATATATATGTAGATCAAGTTTGTTCATTGCAAATGCTTTACAGGATTTGATTTTATGATGATAACCCAATGTATCAGTCCACTTCTATTGATACTTATTCAATTTATAGGTAGGTTATAGAGATGTAGATATAAGTATTGATATGTGTCTCTACATATCTTCTTGTGGACATCTTGATTTTAAAATGTTCACTTATTATTTAATGTATATCATGTTTATTCATACTTATAATCCTGTTATCAAAGAAATTTCATTAAGTGAGAACAAGTTTTATATTTAACATTAAGTTTTAGTATTCTCTATTTATAAAGACATGCTGTAAATGCTGTTTTATTATCACATATCTTTTCCTTTCTTACTCTCCCATCTTTTTATTCTATCCTGTTCTGTCCGTATCCTTGATATGTTTTTTTGTTCTTTGTTCTTCCTTTTTCTTTTTTTTTGCTTGGTTTCCTTCTTAAAATTGAAAAGCATGAACCAACAAAGAAGAAAAACAATACAGAAGTGATTAGTGAATTTATATAAAAGTAAAGTCTGTTGTAAAATATACAGATGCAGCTATAACCTCAATTTGGTCATGTATTTTAGAAAGTTATTTGTTTTACTCTAGCCCCCAGAAGTTCCAGAAGAACAGGAGGAACATAAAGAATTTAAAGAATATATTTCTGAAGACATGCTTTTCTATAAGCCGCCCATCTCTAAACCATGGGCTTCTTTGGGCAGTGAAAAAGAAATTGAAGAAGAATCAGTTAAGGAATCTACAAAGCAGGTCAGAAGCTTGAATTATTATCTCCAGTCATTACCTCCCTGTAGCTGAATAATGCTTATTCCTGAAGGATCTGTAAGGCTTCTATGTTTGCTATAAGCATGTGGTTTTTCTTGGATAGAAGAATGGCCTGTGTCTTAGTTGTGGATTATGGGCTGAATTATCAAAAGATATGTGGACCTAATCCCTAGTACCTCAGAATGTGACCTATTAGAAATGGGAGGGCCCTATTCCAGTATGGCTGGAGTCCTTATAAAAAGAGGGCCATAGGAAGACACAGAGACACAGGGAGAAAGAACAACATGTGAAGAAGGAGGCAGAGACTAGAGTGCTGTTATCTACAAGCCAAGGGACACCAAAGATTGCTGGCATCTCTAGAAGCTAGGCAGGGGCAAGCAACATTCTCCCTCAGAGACCACAGAAAAACCAACCTCTACCACCCTGATCTTGGACTTCCAGCCTTCTCAACTGTGAGAGAATAAGTTCCTGTTTTAGCCACCCAATCCATAGTACTTGATTATAGGATCCCTGTAACCAACTGGCATTGCCAAGGCACCCCCTGAGAAGAGGATTTGGATGTGAGTGATGGATTTTGAAAGTGTCCCATGAAAAAACAGGTAAAGCAGTGGGAGAGGGACCTGGCAAAAGCCCTGCCAAGGTGCAATCTCAGGCAAAATTTCTGCCAAAGGCAGGCTTCAGCCAGAACCACTGCGGGAACTCTGGAGGGTAAATTACACCTCAGAGTTGTCCCAAAGAGAAGCAAAAGAATTGAGCTTCCTGATTTTCTCCTACCAGTCCATCACCAGTTGAGATGTAAACAACCAGTCACTTCCTGTTCTTTGCGCTTGCGGTAAAAATGGTCCCAGTAGCCCTGGAGCAGTGCTGCACAGGACAGCAGCACGTGGTGGCCAGGAGAATAAGAAGCACACAGGAGCTGGAAGGGTGCACAGAAATTATACACAGAGATCTGCGAGGATGAAGGCAGAGCGCCCACTCAGCTGCCACATACCCATTTTTCTCCAGGAACTTGATTATGTTACCTTTTCTGCTTATCTGTGTTGCAGATTACATATATGATTTCTCGAAAACAATGTGAGTTTGGTGCACCAATTAAGTTTAGTGACCAGAATGCTTCCAGTGTAAAAGATGCCTATATTGAATGTACAGCCTACCCAGATAAAAATTTTGTTCTTAAGCAACTTGAGAAAGATGTTGGCATGCAAGCAGTCCCCAAAGTCATGGACACAAGTACTCAGACAAGATGGTAAGTATATGATGGGTTTATGTATTTCCAAAGGCAATTACAGTAAAATCTAGCAATGTCCATAATTATTTTGAGAGACTTTTATAATAGAAATGGATTGGCAATGATGACCTAGATCTCTATAGAGTCAATTCAGGAAGTTCTAATTGCTTTCAACTATGCCTTTTAAAATCTTAATAGGAAAATGAGATACAACCATGTAAGACTGTAAAGACTATGCCATGGGAAAATGACAGATGTTGTTAGTAATGACAGTATTGCTTTCAACTGGAGTATTTTGATTGACTCCTAACTGCTTTATTCTACCTAAATCATTTTTACACATCAAATCAGATCGTGTTACTTCACTGCCTTAATCTCTTCTCTGCCCCACCCCCATCACATCCAGAGCCCTTGGGATAGCATTAGAAGGTTCTTCTTCCTCCCTGTCAAGGCACCGTTGGCCTCACCGACCTCTTCCTCCTCCCTTACCCCATTTCCAAACAAGTCCTCTGTGCTCTAGCCCTGTGAACTGCTCCCATCTCCCAGAAGTCTGGCTCTTCGGCATCTTCCTGCCTTTGCTACTGCTGTTGCTCTGCCTAAAATGCCCTTCACTGCCTTGTCCACCTTGTGCCTCTTCACCCTTTAAGTTCAGTGCCCTCTCCTCTATGATTTCCTGGAAATAACAGGTAGAGTTGATCACTCCCTCCTCTGGGACCCCACTAGACCTTAAAGGTATGTTTATGGTATCACTGAGGACCCATATTGTACTCATCTGCTTACCTGTCTGTCAGCCTTAGATCCAGAGCCCTTGGAGGTTACAAACGATGTAATTTCATGCATCAAGCTCCTATTTAAATGGATTCAGTGAGTGAATGGATTCAATTGATGTAAAATGGATTGTCAAGGGAGTAATTTTGAGCTATGTTTTGAATGTTGTATATATAAATTTGGAGACATATATAGCTAAGCTATACATATTTTTAGAATGAAAAAAGATTTTATTTTGAAATAATTTTAGATTTATAGAAGAAAAACCCCAAATGTTACATATGATTTGGAGAAATGGAGAAAGGGAAAGTAGCCCAGGTTTTTTTTAAAGCCCTGAACAATTCAAGAGAATGGGAAGAATAGATTTTGCATGGGACCATGAGGAGACCAGCCTCGGTACAACAGAGTGGGTAGCAGAAGTAGACAGAGAAGTGGTTTCTCTGTGGCAGACAGGAGGGAACTTTGACAAATTCTGAAGCAAAGGAGGGAAGGCAGGATGGTAAGGTATTAAAATCAGATGAGCCAGGCAGTATGCATTGGAAAGCAGAGGGAAAAAAGCCTGGAGTGGAAGCAATTGGCCAAGTAGGAGTCAGCTGTCATTAAACAGGTAAAAACGTGACCAGTGTCTAAAGTAAGGTGGTGGCAATAAACTGAGAGGAAATAGTGAAAAGGAGACATGTATGTACAAAATACTATAATTCCCACCATTCAAACAAATGAACAAATGAAACCCAACTTTCTTGACCCTTTCAGCTATTATCTAATTTCTCTGCTTTCCTTTACAACAAAATCCTCACAACAGTGTCCACACTCTCTACTTCTACTTCCTCATCTATCTTGAGCCTGTTCCTAACAGTCTTTGGGTCACCAAAGACCTCCAATCATTTGGTTGCCAATCCAATTTTAATACCTATTCTTTCTCCGCTTCTCAGCAGTATTTAACATGGTTGACAAATTCTCCTCTTTACATTTCCACTTGGCTATGGACCACATTTATTGTACCCTTCCTTACTCACTGGCAGGTCCTTCTCAGTCTGTTTCACTGGATCCTACTTTTCCCAACTTCTAAATATTAGAGGATCCCCAAGGCTAACTCCTTAGATGTTTTCTCTAACTACACTTAGTCCCTGGGTGACTTTATCCAGCCCTTTGTTGTTATTCATTCTGTTTGCTCATGGCTCTCAAATGTATGCCTTCAACCTTTATCTTTCCCCTGGACTCCACATGCTTATATTCATGTGCTTAGTTGGATTTCTATTAAGGGTCTCAAATCTAGCATGCCTCAAAACAAATTTTTAAAATTTTTATACCCTGAAATCTGAAACTCCCTGAATCTTCCTCATTTCAGTAGATGGCAGTGATATTCCTGTAATTACTCAGACCCAAAACCTTGGATTTCGTTGGGTCTACCCTCAAAATATACCATTGCAGTCATCTTGGACTAAGCCATCCTCATCTTTTTTCTAGATTATTATAATGCCTCCAAACTGGGCTTCCTTTACCCATCCCCGCCCTCCTGTGTTCTCTTCTCCATAGAAGAGCCAAACTGATTTGGATCCCACTTGCCCCTCTACCCTCATTTCCCATAATTCCCCTGGCTCACCCATCCCAACCACACTGGCTTCCCTGTTCCTTGAATTCACCAAGCATACTCATACCTGATGTTTTTACACTCACAGTTCCTCTACATAGGCTTCTGTTCTCTCATCCTTAGGGTTCATTTCCTCCTTTATTCAGATCTCTGCTTGAAAGAGACACTCCCCAACATTCTTTTATAAAAGCAACTTCCATTTCTGTCTATCCCCTTACTCTATTTTTTTCTTCATGGCACTGTTATCACTTGCCTCTCTTTTCTCACCTTCTTCCTACCTACCACTTAGAATTTAAGCTCAGGAGACAGGAACTTGGTCTGTTTTGTTCACTTCTATATCTCCAACTTCTAGGACTGTTCCTGGCACAGATTTTATTAAATGAAGGGAATAAAAGAATGAGAAAGGAAAAGAGAAGGAGAGAAATCAAGTTAAGGAAGAATGTCGGAATGGATGACTGACTTGAGTTCAATGTTAAAAGAAGAGCCATGATCCTTGGCTGGTGTGGCTCAGTGGATTGAGTGCTGACCTGTGAACCAAAGGGTCACCAGTTCCATTCCCAGTCAGAACACATGCCTGGGTCGTGGGCTGGGTCCCCAGTTGGGGGCATGTGAGAAGCAACCTATAGATGTATCTCTCACACATCAATGATTCTCTCCCTTTCTTTCTCTCTCCTTTCCCCTCTGTCTAAAAATAAATAATAAATAAATAAAGTCTTCTTTAAAAAGAGCAATAGATACTTATAAAAAAAGAAGAACCATGAAATACCAGCAAGAGAGACTGTGACCAGGAGAATCAGGCTCAGCACATGGACTGTAGTACAAAACATACTTTTCAGGTCTACGTGAAGCAACATGTAGTGTGGAGTTAAAGTCAAGGCATATGTACATAGAATCCAGGGGACAGGACAAGAAATGGGTCAGAAACCAAGGAGGCAGATGAATATACATGCCAGAACCAAACAGTTGAGGAAAAGGACAAGGACTGGTAGTCAAGTCTCAGCAGAGAATTAGAACATCAGAGATTCATTAACACCAAGAAGGAGAGAAATGATACAAATCTTAGATTTTGAGAGAAATTCCTTAGTCAAGACAAACCAGAGACGACTTTTCTGTTCCTGCCAGGGTACAGAAAAGTGACAAGAATGAGTCAGCCAGGGTAGACTCAGGAGGTAGACTCAGAAAAGGACAGTGAACTTCTGACAACAGGGACCTTAATAGCCTCTCAAAGAATGTTGATTGATAATAATGAATAGTTTCTATATAGCTGGAATGAAGAGATGAGAAGTGGAACCTAATCAACAAAACAAACAAGCAAGAAAAATATAACCAGCAACGTTGAAAGAAAAAACAAACCCACAGTAATGAGAGGGAAAGCGGGGGTAACAGGGAAAAGAAGGGGAAGGGTCAAATCAAGGAACATGTATAAAGGACCCATGGACGAAGCCAAAGTGGGGAAGGATTGAGGGTGGGAGGTGGAGGTGGGTGGGGCAGGGGACAGCGGTGGTGGGAAAATGGAGACAAATGTATTTGAACAATAAAAAAAAGTTAAAGCAAAGAAAGAAATAAGGGCAGGTCTTGACCTACAAAGTGAAAAATAAAAAAGAATCAGAAGAACTCAAAATGGTTCAAATCTAGGTGACAGAGAATGCTGGTACCACTTAATAAGATTATGAAATTAGCTGGTCTGAGGAGGAGAAGATGCGATATATGATTGTGATCAAAGAAATAAAAAAAAATCAAAGATGAAGTTCAAAGAGTAATGACAATGAAAGCAAATATTTACAGTGCTCTTACCATATAACAGGCATTCTTCTAAGTACTTTGCATACATCAACTCAATTAATCTTCACAACTGCCCTTTGAGGTAGGCACTATCCCCATTTTACAGATAAATAAACTGAGGCAGAGAGATTAAAAATGAAAATTCAATATTTGGAACAATTAAAATTTGAATTGATAATGAATAGATTTGCTAAAAAACAACAAAACAAATCACATTTAAAAAAAAATAAAGACTCTTAGTCATGTTGCTACTTTGATGAAACTAGGAGGTGCCATATAATTTCTTAACCCTGTGAAATAGAAATGTAAAGGTAAAGTTAAGATTTGAACCCAAGTCTCTTTGGTTCTAATACCAACATTATTCTTTTTTTTTTTTTTAAAGATTTCATTTATTTATTTTTAGAGAGAGGAAGGGAGGGAGAGAGGGAGAGAAATATCAGTGCGTGGTTGCCTTTCACATGCCCCCCACTGGGGACCTGGCCTGCAACCCAGGCAGGTGTCCTGACTGGGAATGGAACTAGTGACCCTTTGGTTGGCAGATCAGCACTCAATCCACTGAGCCACACCAGCCAGGGCTCAACATTCTTTCTTTCAATCATTCTTCTTCTGCTATGGATACTGATCTAGGTGGGGACAAAGAATGAATTCAATTCTTCATAAGAAAGTATTCAATATAAGCAAAACCCTTTTTATCCCTCTATAGATTACTCTCACTTAATATATTTACCTCTTGCAAAGACATTTTACTGATATTTGCTTTAAAAACACAGATTAAATACAATCTAATATTTTATTAAGCACTTAAAATGTGCTAGCACTGTTTTAAAAGCTTTGCGTGTACTAACACATTCAGTTCTTAAAATAACCCTACCTATGAACAAGATACTTGAAGAATTTTATATAGAAATGAGAAAAGAGGCATAGAGAGGTTAAATAATTAGCGCAGGGTCACCTAGCTAGCAAGTGATAGAATCAGGCCAGGCAGCCTGTCAGAGTGCACACTCTTAAGGACTGTGTCACATGACCTTTCTATAGCCCCACACCCTAACTAAGATCCAGGAGCTTACCCATTCTGGCAGGTGAGGCTGACAAAAGCCCAGAGGTTCAATGCAACGTGATATGCTCAAGGGCGAAGGTCAGCTCTGAGAGCAGTCAGTCTGGTTGGAATAAGTTTTTCTCCAGAGACTGTGCTGCCATTACTGACCAAATGTAAATTGTTCCTAGTTGTGTGTATTTAGAGCAGAGTTTATGACATTTCGGAGCTGGCTAATGATCTGTTGGGGGAGGGGCACAGCCTTGCGTGTTGTAGGGTGGTTAACAGCACCCCTGGGCTCCAGTCACTAGATGCCAGTAGCACTTCCCAATTGTGACAACCAAGTATGTTTCCAGATATTGCCAAATGTTTCCAGGGTGTGAGGGAGGACCAGGATTTCACTGGTTAGGAAACTCTAATGTAATCAAATGAAGAAAAAGAAAATGATAAAGAAATGTGGCAACATGTTAATAATTGATGAATTGGGGTGAAGGGAGTATGGGGATTCCTTGTACCCTTCTTTCAACTTTTCCTGTAAGTTTAGAATGATATCTAAATAATTTTTGAAAATAAGAGCTTAATTGTGTTTGAGAAAAATATGCAAATACTTTGAATGGCCATCAATATCAGTTTTCTAGGGTAAAGAGAAAATTCAATGTATAAAATTTAAATATAAAATAATATCCTAATACTGTCACAGAGATAAATCTTTGACCTGTCATGACTATATTTGCTTTTCTCTGATCTAATTTTAATTATTCAATTTTCTTTCAAAATATTAGGACATATCCCAAAAATGCTACTACGCAATATTATCCAAGAGAATTTTTAGAAGAGGAAAAAGAGACACTCAGACAATCAAAGCTGTTAGCTGATTTTCTTAACAACACGTGCATAAGGTAAAAGTTGTGTTTTAAATTTTGAAAATAAAACATAAGATGTATATGTTTATTAAATAATAATAGGTCTTAAAAAACAGCTCCATACATGGTATCAGATGAAGTATGAAGACAGTTACCAGATGTACATAAGCATATGACCCTCTCTACAGATTCTCAGTCCATCTTTCCCCTCTATTGCTAAGCAGTAACCTAAGCCTTGCAAGCTAGGAACACACCAAACAGTGTGAACCTGGAAGATGTATACAGTTGAGCATGTGAGGATGATTTCCTAACAGCAAATTAACATTTATTTACCATGGTTCCTTTTATTTATTCCACTCTGCACTCCCCTTGTTACCTTCATTGGATTTTGTAGGATTACAAAGATGAGGGTGCTGTGGATGATGATGATCATCATTACAATGATGATGTCAGGAACTTACAAAAACATCTTTGTAGATAAGAACCTGAATTCAACTCGGAGGTACTTCTTGGATGACATCATCATTATCTCTAATTCCTTCGTTGCCATCACTCTTATTGGCCCTGAAAGAAAGAATGTCTTCAAAATGCCTATATAGTGGTACTAGGACCCTGGGCAGAGCCGGGGTCTTCTAAATCGGGGAGAGAGCTTGACAAGTTCTCATCAAGTTGATACCAGAGTTCAAAGAAGTGGCACCAATGATGGAACCATCTGCCAGTTGTACCCAATAGGTTCATTTCCATTTCTTTCCAAAATTAAACATTTTTTGTCAAGTTGACAGATGGCCCAAGTTAAGCTTTTTTAGTTTTAAGAAACCATCATTAGTTCTTTCAGCTGGATTAAATGTCATGAAAATTATCCATGCCTAGGGAGAATCTGGTTCAAAAATTCATCAATGATTCAGAAAGTGCATTAATTATTTACCATTCACAGGAAGCATGCTATAGTTTTTTCCTATGTGGGAAAAAAAGAAAGAAGCAAGAAAATCTAAGGTTTCTTTTTCCCCTTATCAAAATATTTAAATTTTTTCTGATGAGAACATTAAAAATGAGAAGTGTGTTTCTATATAACTTATTTCAAGGAAATAAATGGCCTATAGCCATTTCTCAATTATCTACATCACGTATTATCTTTAGTCTGGAGTTTTGTTCTTCCCTTTCAATTGCTCTGCTTATGAAGAGTGGAGTATAATTCCTTCCCTGAGGTGTGGGAAGAAGAAGCCAGAAGTATAAGAGCAAACTGGCACAGGAATTAAAATAGCACTGGCAAAGAATAAACAAGAAACCCATGCTTATACACTGTCATTCTTCCCACTACAGAACTGCTTAAGGCTTCTTTAAATTTTTTTTAATTAATATAAGCCTAGTTTTGTTCTGAAAATGAGCCCTTCCATAACTGAGTTCTTTTTCGTAGAAGTTTATCCAGAATGAACCTAAGGGAAGCCTTACTTGCCAAAGAAGAAAATTATGTTATAAGAGAGAAACTTCCAAGTTTTCTCAAAGCAACTAAGAAACTTTTATTTGGGGGTTAAAAAAAAAAAAAGATGCTCATGGACTTTAACTCAGACAACAGTTTTGCCAGCCTGCAACTCATTGCCCTCAAGAACCAGGTGACAGAGTGCACGGGAATCAAGAAACAGAGAACCAACTGCGCTCTCTTTCCCTGTGGCTCACTTCCCCATTCAGCCTGAGAGGGAAGAAGCAGGAAACCAGAGCAGAGGCCCTCTCTCTAACTTCTCCCCCGGAATTCCATGCTCATTCTGGCGGAAACAGAAAGAAATAAGATTTTGAGAATGTTAACAAATGCTTCTACTTGAAACTGGTTTAACCCTTGGATTTCCAGGGTGCCAACCTACCCTGCCCATGGTTATTCAAATTTTAATATGCATACACGCACCACCTGCACACCTGGTTAAGAAGCAGACCCTGCCTCAGTAGGTCCGGGGTGACATCTGTGACTCCGCCTTTCCGGCAGCTCCCAGTCATGCTGATTCTGCTGGTCCTAGGGAAATGTTCTAGTTGGAAGGATAAGGGGCAAGAAGAATGTAACCCAGAGTACTCAGTTAAGCCGTGAATGGTAGTGTTAATGCGTAATGACAGAGGTATTAAACAGTACCCTTGGTTAATCACATTTTGAGGTGTATATATTATGATATTTAGTGTTTATGTATAATTGTCTAAATAAAATGGGTTTTTTCTTATTTTAGAAAATTCCAAATTCAGACCGACTCTTTCAGCTTACCACACCTATTAAAACACTGCACTATTTGGAGCTTAAATCATTAGGGTAAACCCTTGGCTGGCATCCTTCTTGTGGGGAAACTCCTAGAGGCTGGGGAGTAATTGGGGCTTTCAAACCTAAGCATATGAGGGGACAAGGAACATTATGGGAACTTTATGTAACTTGTAGGACAGGAGCCTGTCAAGCCAGAGACCCTAGACTATTAGAAGATGAGTCTAGCACTGGGATTGTTTCTTAAAGAAGCACGAGTAGTATTTTTAGCAGGATAACCCTCCATTTTAGGGACTATCTCATGCATTGCAGGAGGTTTAGTAAGGGAATTAAATACATTAGATCTTCCCAGGCGTTGACAACTAAAACCACTACCACTATACACTCACACACACTCAAACACACTTCTAAACTCCAAATCTCCCCTTAAAAATCTCTGATTTGTTGTTTTGAATTATATATACACAAACATACATAAATTCTATGTTAGCATAATAATACATATGATCATTTGGGTACTGAATATAGCTAATAAAATTGCCTTTTTTATCCGTTTGGGATTTTCAAACGGATAAAAACAGGAGGCGATTAAGACCAAGTTCAAAGTGGAGGTTTATGGGGGGGGGCAGTACACTGCGGAAAAATAAAGAAAGCAGAAGGAGGCTCGGGTAGGGAGAGCTACAGTCAGCCCCAGGCAACCAGCAGGGAGCTGCAGGGGGAAGGAGGCCTGTGGGAGGGGCGCTGGGCTGCGGGCAGGGTCGCAGGGCCCTGGTGTCCTCAGCTGCCACGCTCATTGGCCTGGGAACCAAAGCACTGAAGGTGCTAGAGGCTGTCCGTCTACTCACCCCATCCTGGAAGCTGAACAGCGAGTTCTGAGTAGTGCACTGCCATGACTTTTTTTTCTCTTAAGTCCTTACGTCATTTATTTCACACAGGGTTAACCCTTAGTTACCAAATATAATTGAGAATATATTTTTCTTTCAGTATAAATGAAGCAGGAAGAGCTACTGAAAGCATATCATTCAGCACTAAAATCCAATATCTTCATTGCTTTGCTTTTCCTTTTTTATGAAATAGTGTTGAAATAGCCTTGCAACAAAATGAAATCACCAACACATTTATCGATGACTGGAAATGCCTGGCAGAAGAAGAAGGCACCTTTGGGGACAAGACCGATACTCACCTGAAGGAGTACCAGTCCTTTACCGACCTTCATAACCTAACAGAGAAAATGATCACGTGCGTCTCGTGGCATCCAGAGATCTACGGTGAGATGGGAAAGACTGCGGTTCCCTTTGGGATGACATTGCAATAGTCTGTTGCTTTTGTGTGTAAAATTGAAATCAGCTCAATTTCAGTAAGATCACCTCCATTTGCTAAGTGCTTTCTTTCCACACCTTCTCTCAGTCGTGTGTCTTTCAAACCAACCAAAATACACAACAATCCAAATAAAACAAGGCTGAAGGCTGAGTTTGCCCCATAGGATTCTATTTCTCTGTGACCTCTACTTTACAAGGATAGGACAGAGCTCCACTCAGGGAAGTGATTGGCTCAGGCCCCCAGATGGTGCAATGCCAAACCTGGATTGACTCGGGCCTTTTGGACGCCCAAGGCTAACTTTATTCCCCCTGACACTTGCCTCTCTGATTGCTGGACAAGAGAGGAGCTTGCACCTCCTTTGAAGCTCTCAGCAGCCAGGGGAGGTAGGAATGTGTGAAGGTGGGACTTCAGAGGGAGAGGTGCTTGCCCTCTTTCTTCCTCTTTCCCTCCCCAGCATTGGCCCTTTCCTCACACGCGTGCGGGGGCACACATACGCATACAATTTCTTATACTAAATATTCAAAGTCAGATGTTTATTTTGTCCTATCAGTATATCTCAGTTTGGAGTGGGCACATTTCAAGTGCCAAATAAGCAACACGTGGCTGCTGGCAACCACATTAAACAGCGGAGCTCTAAAAAACTCTCAGTCTCCTGTAGAATACTTTTACTCAAGTCCCATCCAAAGGGAAATGAATAGTGACTATTTAGAAGCACAAAACCTACAAACTCTTCACCGTGAACAATCGCTGCAGATCTTCATTTTCATTGTGTTCCAATCAGGGCTATTAGCTGTGTCGGTAGCCGTGCGACTCTCCTTCGAAGAGCGAGTTCACTTTTCTGGTAAACTATTGCTCCAGCCGTCACTGATTCTTTTCTGGAGCTTCTCCGATCCCATCCATCCTCAGGTAATATGAGACAGTCGTCCACGTAGTCTAAAAATTTCAAATATTACTTTCACGTGTCTCTTTTAGCAGTTTCAGTTGCAAAGTGCTTGATAATCACTTAATGTAGTAAAGTTTACAGTGTAAACCCTTACAAAGTCAGACTTTCTTCAATACGGAATTTGTGATCATTCAATCTGAACAAAATGAAAGTTTACACTTAGTTTACTGAAAAGGTTTGTTAAACAAATCATGTTATTTTTTAAATAAAACAAAGAGTGTAAGAGGAGTGGTCAACTGATTTTAAAGAGCAAACTCTTTTATGGGCTTTATTTAAATAGTAATGGTTCAAATGCAAGTAGATTTTAGTTTCACATGAATTTCCTAAATTCCAAGGATCACCAGTAGGTGCTGATAATGAGAAAAGATGAGTGTGTGGGAGAGGAATAGGGAGCCGTGGGACACAGCCCATCTGTGGGGACAGCTGCTCTTCAGCTCTCTTTTTGCCTGGTGGTCCCACTTATCAAAAGAATCCAGTAATTGGGAATTTTGTGTGAAATCTCTACCTTTTGAAATACCTATTTTAAAGCCAAACCAAAATACACAAAAGCACCCACTGAAACCAACCAAAATACAAAACAGTCCAAATAAAACAAGGCTGAAGGCTGAGTTTGCCCCATAGGATTCTATTTCCAGTAAGTGCTCAAGTGTTCAGCTTAGGGGGAGGGGACTATATAGGATTAGATAAGGATTTTTTCAATGAACTTAAGTATAATAATAATTTGTTTCTATAAAATATTGTATAATTAAGGCTTTCCCTGATAAACCCCAGGCTCCCCTTACTCCTTCTTCCTTAATTCATCTCAATTAAGGCAGTTTTTCTGTAATAAAGTCTAGATACTTTAATTATTATAGACTCAAAGGACAAAATGACATCTCTCTGGTTATTTCTTACCAGCCTACTTACACAAAAATGACACCATTCTCTTGCTGTGTTTTCTGTCTTTTTCTAGTAGAGCAGATCTGTTCACCACCACATGACATGGACATCTTGCCTGAACTTCCAGGCAAATAGCAAGAGGAAACACTTTCCTTTCCTCTATTTTGAGGAATAGCTTTAAAAAGACAAATAATTTCTTAACGAAATAATGTAAATGACTTATTTTGTCTTTGTTTTTATATCAAAACTACAGGAGAATATTAAAAGATTTTATTTTCAAAAGTAGAGACTTCTCTAGAATCCACAGAGTACCAAATTAACCAAGATTATTAACCCCACTTCCAGTTTACAATCTTTAGCTCACTGATGGCAAACCAATGGCCTTGGGGTCTATGTTTTTGGTAGTTATGTTTAAAGAAGAACAGTAACCATTCAAGTGTTTTGCTTGGTGGTAACCCAACAGTACCAGTGCTACCTATGGTTAACATACCTATTCCTTCACACTGGCATATTCCTTGAAGAGCTCCCTCCGGACCCCACAAGCACGTGAGTTTGTTTACCTTCTGTGTGCTGCATTGTTTTAAAATTTTAAATGTATTCACTGGCAATACCTTCACCTTATCTCATACAACATATTTTATTTTTGCATGCTCATTGCGTGCCAGGCTAGGTGTACAGCACAGAACAAAACAGACAAATACCCTGTCTTCTCAGAGCTTACTTTCCACACTTTTCAAAAACATTGATTTCATGGTCTTTTTGTTTATGAAAAGTTATAAAATGCCCCAACCATAACTCATGGAGCATGAGGGAGGATAAAACCAGTCCCCTTGAAAATATACCTGCTATCATACACATGGCTAATGTCCACAATAAAATTCAACAACAGCAACTCCTCATTCAGAGGTAGAATTCTGGGAATGGACTCTCTGTGCATGTTTCTTATAGAGAGCTATAAAATTAGACTTTTAACGGTCTCAGTATTATTTTGTAGCCATGATCTTAACAGGCTTTCTCACTCTCCTGAATTTTGGGGACTTTAGTTAATGCTGGAGAGCCCAGAAGACATTTTCTGCTTCAAGTTCTGTCCAACTAACCCCAATATTATTGCTGGAGGCTGCATAAATGGACAGGTATGCATGGATTTTTTTTCAGCTATTTGTTAATTTAGACAACATTCTGTAGGACATTTCGATTGGTAGTTTTTTGAACTGAAGGAGTCAATTGAGCAGAAGGAAAGCATGCCAGTTGTGTGCCAATCACCATGCGAGCAGCTGGGGAATAAAGATGTGTTAGGAGGTTGGGGGATGGGAATGTAAAAAAATAAAATAAAATTTTAAAAAATCTGTCTGCTGTAAGGAAATAAATAAATATGTATGAGATGTGGTGTCGGGGCTCAAGGTATTCACAGGGTGACTCAGTCATAGTTGGAACAAAACCGGGTCAAATCTATTTGTATTGCTGAGATAAAAATCACACATTGGACCAGATTTCACAGAACAACAAAATCTACAAGCATTAATACCCACTGGTCAAGATGCCTCTTTTGAAATTTCCCTAGAGGTAGGAGATAGGAGGTAATGTAGAATTTAAACAGAAATTCACTGGAAAACATACATATATTACTGAATTTGTGTGTATAATTTGATACCATGTTTTCTCTTTGTTATCTAATTTATATAAAATTTAGATCCTACTCTATAATTACCAGTTTCTTCAATAAAGGAAAACAAAAAGCTTAAAGCTGTTTTATAATCAAAGTTTACATTCACTGTGATCCAGTGAATTTCACTATTATAAGTGTATATGATCTTTTTGGGCATGGCTAGGAACACTTCTGGTGGTTGAAATTTAAATGTCTGCAGCATTCATGCCCATTTATCCAAAACCAAAAGCATCCAAGAAAACAAACTTTCTCCTTCCGTTTTGTTCAACAATAACTGGTGGTCAGAATGATGATCCAGAGACCATCTTCCAAGCCCTGCAAATCCTGAAATGCCTTTCTCACTCATTATGAAGGTCATACAACTTTGTTTTAAAGTATTTTAGAAACGCAAATGATCAAAATAAAAGCACTCACAATTCTGTCATCCTGACATGTTAACATTTGAGTGTACTGAAATTACTTCTAATCATTAAACATTAATCTAATTGGTGGTACATCTTATACCTCATTCTGATTTTCAAAAAAAAAGACCATGAATATGCAAATTTGGAGTTGGCCATAACATCCAATTAAGTAGAAATCATCATTTCTTAGACTTTTTGGACAATTGAGTGTTTGTATTTGATTCTGGCGAAGAGGCCATTTTCTCCGGAGTCTAAAACAATTGTCCCCACAATTATAGCGCATTTCTCCAAACATAAGGTGCACTCTTCCCAACGCAGAGGGAATTGCACGATGTTCATCTTGGATTTAAAAAATTACTGGCACTTTTAACACAAGCACTAAAATCAAAGTGTTGAAAATACTTTTATAGAGAAGAAAACATTCATTTTTATATTGGGTTGTCCAAAAAGTCCATATGGTTTTTTTCCATAAAAGACACATTTTTCATTTTCACTAATAACTTTATTTGGTTGGATATTTTGAGTATGTCACTTATCTCCCGTGTGGTATAATGTTGATTGTTCTCAATTAATGTCTTGATTTGATTGCTGTCAACTTCAACTGGTCTACCTGATGGTGGGCATTGTGCAGAGAGAAATCTTCGGCATGAAACTTCGCAACCCACTTTTGACACATTCGATCAGCCACAGTACCTTCTCTGTATGCTGCACAAATTTTTTTTTTCTGTGTGTTTTAGTTGCATTTTTACCTTCCTTAAAATAATAAAGCATAATATGCCAAGAAAGTTGCATATTTTCTTCCATCTTCAATATTAAAATAGCCATACAAAAATTCACCAATTTTGATGTTTTTTTAAATGTACACTGATACAACAGCTGTCATAATACAATCTAACAAAATTGTTTCAAATGAAGTTAAAGACAACTAAATGCTACTAGAGCCATCTCACAGAAAAAAACAAACAAACTTTTTGGCCAACCCAATATTAGCTTTAGAAGTTTCTGACTTACCTAAGATGTAGGCTAAATTTGATTATCCCCCAAGATGATTGATTTATCCAAGTGCATGCCAATACAAATAGATTTTTTTAATCTTTAATCCTGAAAATATGTAATAACATTTATTTCTGTTTCAGATTATCATGTGGGATATTACTGCACATGCTGAACGCATTGAAAACATTAAGACAGGCGGTAGTAGAAGTAAAAAACCCACACTCAAGGTTAACGTTTTATAATTTTCCTCTTTCACCTTTTTTTCCATCCAGGAGTTTATCAAAAAGTACATAACAGAGTTGCCAAGTTGAACAAAGACTCGATAGGGGAAAAAAAAAGTGCTGGAATTATTTCCCAACCTTCACATCTGCTTAGGACATTGCTCTGAATCACTTCTTTGTAGGCCCTTGATTAAAAACAGCACAAAACACGTGGCACCATCTGTCCCAGGCTGTTAAGTTCCTTTTTTGTTTTATTGGCATTACATAAAATGAAGGAGCTGAGTGAGTTTCCTAAGGTGATATAGTTGAAGGAGCACAGGACAGAAGGGCCAGGTACCCAGGCTCTGGATCACAGTCCTGTAAGTTTGGACATTTCCCTCACCTCAGCGAATACTAACTTTCTCATGTATAAAATGAAGGGGGTGATAATATACTCGGATTTTGTGAAGCTGTGGATTCTGCCAGAAGGGTTGGGGACAGCTCCCTGAGCTCCCAGCTCACCACTTACCCAGCGTTTGCATGCCTCCACCCCAGTTCTTCAACCTGAACATCACCAGGTCTCTCACCAAGAAACAAAGGGCCGCAGCCATCTGTGCACAGAAAGAAATACTTCTTCAGAAATGGGAGCTCACTGATTCTTTAGGGAGTGGGTCAATAATTTTTGTTAAATTTAGAGATAAAATCTTAGACCAAACTGAAGGGGGAAAGTACATAATCTCATTACCTAAATATATGATACATAGACACACTAATTTCTGTTTTTCTTTGAACTGATATTTCTCCAAGTTATTCATTTTAATTGGTATGATGAGCCAAGTATGAGTTCAGTCATCAGCTCTCTGAAGTTAGCACATAACTTTCTTTTAACAATTTTCCAGCCTATGTTTCTCCTCGAACCAGACATTAATAAAGAAGCAATGTATATCAGACACTGTGCGGTCTCCTCAATAGAAAATGGACATAAGAAAGCAATTACAGATATACATTGGCTGTCTGACACATTTGAGGTGAGTCTCAATGGCTTCATAGTTTTCTTCTGCTGGATTGAAAATGTGTGGAAGATTTTGTTCAAAGATGTTTTGAGTCAGTAATCCACATACATTTAAATTGTGAAATAGCCGGGAACTAGGAACCAAACAGTTGTGTCCCTGTTACCAGACCCATATCTGACTTGGAGATGAGAGTAAGGCCAATGTTTCAGCTTCCACAGTTTAAAAAGCACTAAAAAAATATAGTTGGTGTCAACACTGATATTATACTATAGTGGAGAAGATGAAGGTTTGATATGTAAAAGTAGAATGTAAATATCTTGCATCCTTAGCCTTTGCACATCTAAAATTTGCAATGTCAGCTATTTGGAGCAGGCGACTCTGAAGATCTGTGACTAAGGAAGATGTAATTTTGCCAAGGCAGTCTTGAGCTGAGTGCGCCTTCAAGCTGGGAGGCAAAAACTAGCTGTGCAGCAAAAACTAGTGTCCAGCTGCCCGCCCAGCACCTACCCTGCAGTTTGGCTCTGCGGTTCTGTACTTGGCTCACAAAGTCATTTTTGTGAACTTGGAAACTGGTAACATTCCCGAATGTTTCACTCAAGGGCACTAAAGATCTACTATGTACTTTGAAGAACTAACAAGAGAAAATATAAAAGGATATCTAAAAAATTAGAGCTATGAAAGATGATTAGCCCTTTAAGGTATTCAAATGAATTATGCAAAGCAAATAGCCCAGATATAATTTCTGTTAAAAATAAAAGTTTAACATACAGTAATGGAATTTACTACCCAAGGGAGGACACTATATTTTAACTCACACCATATACCCACAAACACATTTAGGTGATTATAAATTTAAATAAAAATAAATTACAAGAAAATTACAACAAATCAAAATAAAATATCATATTTCTGAAATGGAGATAGTTTTCTAAACAAATTTATGTTGAAAGGAATTCAAAGCACACATGTAAATTTCTCAATTAAACAATAAAGAACAAATAATAAAATGAAAAATATTTGTCCCAAATATAGTAAATATAAAATTTCCAGAATAAGCAAAAGACATATACTGACTGAAAAACAATTAGTATATAAACATGAAAATCATTTAGCCTTTCTAATATCAAAAAAATTAATAAATAATTAATAATCAAACAACAATAATTTGGGCCTTTTTAATTTTTGATTAAAAATTTTAATATCCTATGTTAAATAGAAGATGATGCAACCAATAAATTCTAACATTGTTGGTTCCAACATAAAACTTTTAGAGTACAATTAATCAGTGTGGTCCATAAAGCATCCAAATTTTCGAACTCTTGACCAGCAATCTGTGTTTTGGGAATTCACACAAAGAATAATAATGCAACTTGTGTCTCAAGATGCAAAATTACATGGACACTCTGACAAATCTTGTTTAAGTGTATCCTTAAAAGAAGTCTGGAAAAAAATACAAAGTAGAATTATATTTTATTTTTAAAACTTATTTTCCAAACCTCTGTAATATTTTAAAAAAATAATTAGAACGTAAAACTCTAATGCAAGCGCATCTCTGGAGTCTCACACTTTCTACACAAGGGAAGCTCATTAGAAGGAGAGACCACGTGGGGTCTGGATTGATTATCAGACACAAGTGGAGGTTGGTGGCTGATACCAAACCTGAAACTGATCAGGACACAGCGGTGTCAGCCAGGTTTCCAGGATCCGAGCCCCTGGGACGCCAGCGGGCCTTGCCAGTGCTGCACCTGTGGCATTCCTCCTGCCCCAACTTCATTGTTTATTAGCTGCTGGAACCCCCATCTCTGCTGTTGTGCTCATCAGTCCCACCAGGAGGGTAGAGAAGCGGGGAAAGTCATGTTTCCCTTTGGTCTGAGAGTGGCACCTTCACAGGTTGCCCCAAAAGCTTTCACCTCAGTTGAGAGCCAGCTGGATGAAATTTTGGACCTTCCAGGACCCTGAGGACTACTAACCCTCCTTGGAATCCTCTGAACGCTGGCAGAGCTGTGCCGCTGAGTACTCAAAAAATGTAGGTGTCACAACATTCACTGCCTGCTACTGGTGTCTGATTTAACACTAAGCCTCCTTTCCATTGATTTTACCTGTTTAACAGTCTCATAACAGTCTCATTTCTACTATTATTTGTGTTTGGTTCCACGAATAATAGTAGAAAACAGAAAGAGCCTACATTTCTAATAATAATGGGTAATGAAATTATGATACATCATCTATATATTATAAAACCGTTAAAATGATTCATGAGTACACAGGTAAGTATTTGAATTATAATCTCAGGATAGAAATTCATATGCATACTAATTAAAACTACATAAAAATGTGTCTGTGAAAAAAGACTGGAAAATATATGGCAGAATTGTATTTGATTTTAAAACCTTCTATTTCCCAAATTTCTGTGATAATGTAATACTCTTTTAATAAAAATAAACAAAACAAAAAAAAGAAAACACAAAAATGTAAAAAGCTATGAGAAGCCCTGGCTGGCACGGTTCAGTTGGTTGGAGCATCATCCCATAACTGAAAGATCACCAGTTCTATTTCCAGGCAGGGCACATGCCCAGGATGTGGGCTCTATCTGGCTGGGGCGTGTGCGGGAGGCCTGCCAATTGGTGTTTCTCTCTCTCTGTCTCCCCCTCCCCCTTTCTCTAGAATGAGAATAAATAAAACCTTTAAAAACAGCTGTAAGAAAAAAGTCATTACTGTTCTAAGTCCACAGAACTTACTTCTTGTATTTTTTTTTTAAATAGATTAACAGAATGGGTTCTGTCTTTGAGAATCGAAGTGGGATATGCTGTCAACTTGTCACCTGTTCAGCAGATTGGTATGTCTTATCTTAAACATTACCTAATATGTTTTCATACAACATATTCTTTTCTTAGGTGTTTCTAAGATCATTGTCTTCCTCGGCTCCTTAAATAACCTTTATAGTGGTCGCTAAACCTTATATAACTAAATAAAAGAACGTTAAAAGTTTTTTACATAGCAGCGTTAAAAGTTGTTGCTAGGTAAAAAAATATTCTTATAGATACAAATATATTGTGAAAAGAATTAACTAGATTTAATAATTGATGCTATTGTATAGCATTCTCCATATCTATTCTGCTTCTTCACATTCTCATATTTGTAAATCTGCAGTTTGCATTGTTTATATTCAGTTTTGTCTCAAAATTATGAAGAGTGCAACATTTAATTTGAAAAGCTTTTATAAAGTAAGAGTTTTAGATTTTTATTGCATATTTATGAAAAGAGGTTTTATAAACAATTTGGTAACTATGTTAAAGAATGTTTTAAAAATTGCATCTCCCAATTTATAGAATTCAAAATCATAATGAAATAGTTATGATTCCCAGTCAGGGCACGTACCTGGATTGCAGGCCAGGACCCCAGTAGGGGGCACAGGAGAGGCAACCACATATTGATGCTTCTCTTCCTCTCTTTCTCCCTCCCTTCCACTCTGTCTAAATAAATAAATAAAATAATTTTTAAAAAAAGAATAATAGTATTATCTAGCATCCAAATACTGGCAAAATTGTAGCATTCCAAATAGCATTGACCCCAATAGAAACAATGACACCTCAAGCCATAGACTCTCAGAAGTATGTGGAGTGGCAGGCAAAGGCATCAGTAACATTAACTTGGACGAAGGTTGGAGGAGAAATTATTAATCCTGTGGGCATGTACTGGGTAAGGTCCTGTGATTGCCGTGGCTAACTTAAGGGGACAAAATAAATTTATTGGAAATACATTAATTGGAGGTTTGTGCCAAAACTCTAGTAGGTGCTTTAATAGGTTAACATTTTTATACTTGCAACAACCCCCAAAAATACTTATAAGTAGGAAATAAGACTCAGAAGGCAAAGTTCAGTATATATTATGAGTTATATATATAATTATATCCTATATCATAACTAGTAAGTAATGATGGTACTGAGTAAAAGGAAGAGCTAACTCGGGTCTCAGAAAGAGCCCCAGGGATTGGGTAACAGGAGTAAATGGCCAGCCCCTTCCTTATGAATGAATCAGCTCCAACCCTGAGTCACTGAGAGTGTGACTGACTTCCACTACATTATGAACTTGCCCCTTTGGCCAGCGAAGGAATGGCAGAGCACCTGGAGTGAGAGTTCCAACATGACCGCATCCAATGGGTAAGAAGCAGTTCCTTCCAACCAATTAGAATGCTTTTGGTAAAGATAGGTGGGGAGAGAATGATCATTCCCCAGGCAAAAGCAACACATGGCATCTATAGGGAATATTATACAGCAGTTAAAATTGTATTATTATGTCATGGAGAAATGCTTATGGTATAATGTTGATTGTAAACCACAAAGGCAGAGTTATACTGTTCTATAGCAACCTTGGAAAACATTTAGTAACACTGAGCAGACTAAAAATATTACATGGTCTATATTGAAGATACAGATCCTTGATTGTTGTTTATAATGATGGCCCTTGAATTCAGAAATATTCTAAGAATAGTCCTTTCAGAAGTTGTTAAAATAAAAATAATTGTGCATTTAGAAAAGCTAACTTTTAGTTATCTGGAAAACTCATCAGTCCAAACCTTTATACTTCAGCTATGCTAAATGTCTTATAATATACTAGAATAAGATAAATAAGGTTCTAGTAACTAAGAATATGTGACTAATTTATATGGAAGTTCAACTGAAATTATATGTATTCAACATAACCATTTCATAAATAATGTAGAGTGATGGCATAAATGAGATTCAAGAAGAGCTATGTAATTTTGAAATTTTAAATCAACCATAATTATATTTTAAAATAAATCTTATTTCATCATTTGTGGTACTCTCTCAAAGATTTCTGTTTTTACAACATAAAAATGATTACTATTTATAATAATTTTTAATGTTAATAATTTCTTCATTTAAAATTTAATAATTTTATCAAAATTAATTCAATAAATTTACTTTAACTATGTATTCATTGTTAAGATGACTAGATTATTAGTATTAATTAAATAACTTACATAAGTGAATACAAGTTTTGTTTCTCTTTAGTTACCATCCATTTATCTAAATGCATACACATATAAATCTCTAATAATAAATTTATTAAATCAGGTTACTCATAACCTCAGTGACAGAAATTATGGAGCTCATATAGAAGACCTTTTGTGGTTTTCATGGTATGTTTTCACATAATTACTACAAAGACCCTTTATGTTACAGTACTGTACAAGTTTCATTATAAATTTTTACCAAGTTTATTGCACTAAAAATAACACTAAAAAGAACTTCATAAAGTATTTTCACATACATTATCTCATCTGATTTTCACAATCAACCTGTGAGGAAGGGGAAATGAGAAGAGAAATAACACTTATTGGATGTCAACTATGTAAAAAGCACATTGAATCCAACTCCATCTGCTTGTGTGGTGTTTTCACTATGTATATATGAATGGGGAGTGACTGCTAATCTGTCCAAGGTTTCTTTTGGGGGCGATAAAAATCTCCTAAAAATCTCCTGGTTGTGGTGATGGTTGCACAACTCTGTGAATATATTAAAAACCATTGAATTATGCATTTTAAATGGGTGAATTTGAGGGTAGATGAGTTACATTTCCAAAAAGCTGCTACGTTAAAAAAAAGATTGTGTCTATCTCCCAACTCAATTCTCATACTAGATAATATTAGTCTCAAGACCAGCAAAGTTATTAAATAATCCTATGAACTGCATAATTCTCTAAATTTTTAAAAATTCATTTCATTAAAATCTTACTTTCAGAGATATTAAAATATAAGTATCACCGCATTGTTTATAGGTAGCAGCCAGAATAGTAGTTCTAAGGTTTCATCTTTTATTTGTACTTATTTCTAAAAATGTAAACTTTTTTTAAAGCACAATATGTTTTTGGGATATCAGACCACAGAAAGCTGCAACCCCTCAACCGACAGAGAAAAAGAAAGAAGAAAGTATTGAAATTCCTTATGATATACCATCTACTTTTTTGCATCTAGATCTCTCCTGGAAACCCCTCTCTAAGGTAAGTAACATAGGATTTATTCTATATTCTATATAATTTATACACATAGACATACATACATACACTCTAAAGGTAGAGCAGCTCAGATTAACACAGGATTTTACAATTCATTTATCCAATAAATTCATTGACTCAGTTATTATGATGCTTGCCTACATCAAGCCAAAAATCACAATTATTGTGAACTTGAAATTAGTATTTGTTCATGTGTAAGCAAGCACAACTAACAAGTAGTTTGCGTAATTATTTCTTCAATTGCATATCAGTTGCTCGCAAGTGGGTACACTCCCAGGTTAGCCTGGAAAAGCTAATTTTACCTCTATTGTAGCCCAAATTCTGGATATTTTGCGCATCAATAGTAGAAAAAGAGTATTGTAATACCTATGATCAAACAAAAATGACAAGTGATTGAACAAGAAATTATTTGTACTTAAATGGCAGAGCTTCAAGAAAAGCAGTTTTAATTTAAGAAAGCTATGGCTATAATGGGATGTATATGGAAAGTATGAATGAACTGCTGATGTCGATGGCTCTCTTTCTTTGGAACATCTAAGTCTAACTCCAAACTTCATCTTTTTTTATTTGACTTATAAGTATCAATAGAATTACATTATTTTGTATTTGTTCCCAACAGAAGAGAAATAACTGAGGTTAGAAATTAGGAAGAAGAGGATAAGAAATTTTCTGGGCTAGGATTTAGTGAGCTGTAAATAGTTTTTTAAAAAACAAGCAAGCGAAAACTCACCTGAAAATAATTGTACAGCACACGGACAAACGCCTTGATTAAGGAAATTTGGCAGGATGCCAAGAGGGGAAAGTGTAAAAGTGTGACCATTTGCCATTCTAGTGGAAACCCAGGGCCACTTCTGGACCTCGGGGGCACGCATGCCCCCCCAGGGGAATCAGCGGTGCTGGGCAGATAAAACGTTCCTGAACATCTTTCTGGAGCTTCCTTTACCTAAAAGATTCAGGGAACAGAGGAATGAGTCATTGTTTTATATTAAAACCAATAAGGACATGTCATGAAATAGAATACAAAACACTTTCAGAAATTAGACAACACAGAAGACTTTGGACTTTGGAAATAAGCCCCTAGAGAAGTTCCCTTCAGCGGCGTGGTTTTAGAAACTGGTGTAGGTGCTTCCCATGGGAAAGGCAATTAAAAATCTGAGGGAGGGTGGGGAAAGGAGAAAGATGGGGAGATGGAATACAGCAATCTGGGGGCAGAAAGTAAAAGCACAAATAATTAAAGGATATATGGAAATAATCTTTCTTGTATGTTCTCCCAAAAGCTAAAACTATCTAAAGGTGAAACAAGTTTAGACCACTGCCCAACCAAGATAAGCCTGAGTGAAGGCCATGTCCTTCGGAAAACACAAGGTAACTGCCTTTGGTTATTGAAAAAGCATTTGATAGTCTGAGTGTTAATAGCTTATTATGTCCAAAGATAGTTGCTGGGACAGTCCAATTTGTAAAAAGAGTCCAAAAAATCCAGTTCTCCAATATGGAACTTTATAATGGCTACAATAGCTATAGCCAATACAATTAAAACTGCCATTACACACAAAAAGATGTGAAACTATTCAATTTCACAAAAATTTACTGAGTTCATTCACATATTTCTGAAAACTTAATACATTAAACAAAATTAATGAAACCCACTGGATGAATATGTATATGCTCAAAGTATAATTCTATAGAATAAGACGTACCTCAAGTCCAGGCAGCAGGGCGAGGAGAGGAGGAGCTGGCACAGTGGCCGTGGAAGCAGCATGGCACGGATGGAGGGTCCCAGAAGGGGAGCGGGAGAAAGGCGCCGGGGGAGCCAGGGAGCGCAGACAAGCCGGCACGGGAAGGAGATGGGCAGAGGCCCAGCGGGGAAGCAGTCCCCTGGCAATGTTATGAAGTGCTAAGAAACAACATTCCCATCCTCCACCTGAATGTAATAGAAAAATTAATGTTTTTACGGCACCATGATAAAACTGCGTAAAGAAATAATATTTGGTTTTTAAATCTATTTCAACACATACACCTTTGTTGTAGCAGTTGAAGGGTACACCTGTTAACTGTCAAACCCACTAAAAAAAAGTATGCTTGACTATCCTTGAGAATAATGCATACTGAAAATGTACAAGAATCACTAGGAACCAAAGTATTTTCCAGATATTTGCCTTATCAAAATGATTTTCATTGATAAATTTTTCAACCTTCAGATAAACGACAGGACATCTTTAAAAAACCTATTATGTATCTAATATGCACTTTGGTCAAAACTCACTCTGAAGCCGTGTATTTTGTAGCTATAACCCAAGACCTCATACAAAAAAAAAGGGCTTCCTGCTCTGGCTGGTGTGGTTCATTTGGCAGGGTGCCACCCGGCAAACCGAAAGGTCTCAGGCCCCGTTCTCCGTTAGGGCACATGCCTGGGTTTTAGGAGGGTGGGGGCATGTACAAAAGGCATGTACAAAAAGTGTTCGCCTCCCTCTCTTTCTCCCCCCGTTTCCCTCTTTTAAAATCTATAAGCGCGTCCTCCGGTGAGGACTCTCTCTCTTCTCTCTCTCTCTCTCTCTCTCTCTCTCTCTCTCTCTCTCTCTCTCTCTCTCTCTCTCTCTCTCTCTCTCTCTCCCCCCCTCCCCCCCTTCCTCCTGAGGTTCTAGCCGGCGAACATCCGCTCTCTGTGGGCCCGCAGAACTACTTGCACAACCCGAAAGACTTGGAGGCTTGAAGAGAAATTCGTCCGCAGTCAATATAATGGACAACCGTGAGACTTGCATGCTTTTCAACATGAACGCGAAGATTATATTAGGAAGCAGAAAGCCAGAGGATTACAGCCAGAGCCTTGCTTTGGAAAGGTGACAGAAGACTGCATCCCGAGAAAAGAGACCACATCGCGCCCACACCTCTGATGCTGGAGCCGGGACGTCCCCTCAGAAGCTTCCCAAGTTCCCCGGTTCCTAACAAAAGGCTGAAAACGGTGGAAAGTGGTCCTAAATTCGTCCCTCCAGACAAAGACTGGAATTTCCAAACTACTGTCAGAAAAATCACGACCCTTTCTTCAAAACCCCATGACTTCCGAGCCCACCTGTGCAAAGAGACGCTGCTGGCTCCCCTGCAGCCCAGAGCAGAGAGAACGCCAGCTGCCCCTCGGAGGCCCGCCCTGCGCCCGGCAGACCGCGGATCGAGACCCAGGCCGGAGCGCAAGGTCCAGGCAGCAGGACGAGGAGAGGAGGAGCTGGCACAGTGGCCGCGGAAGCATCGCAGGGATGGAGGGTCCTAGAAGGGGAGCGGGAGAAAGGCGCCGGAGGAGCCAGGGAGCGCAGAAAAGCCGGACACGGGAAGGAGATGGACAGGGGCCCAGCGGGGAAGCAGTCCCCTGGCAAAGATAGCGTAGGCAGGAGAGGGACCTGCGGGTTGACGCTGTCCTTGGCAGTTGCTGCTGATATTAAATCAGTAACAATATGGTTCTGATGCTAAATGATTAGGGTCCGTTGGAAAGGCTGGATTAAATAAGAGTAGAGTCCCCAAGAAAACAAACTTAGATTTCCAACTCAGCCTCTGTTGAAATAGAAACCTCAGATGGTTTAAGAAAAAATATGTGTGTAAAAACTAAAATATAAAACTACTAGAGGAAAATTGTTTTTAATCTTGGAGTATGAATGGCCTTCCTGAACAATACACATTAGCCGGGGGCCATGACAGAAGAAAAAAATAACACACGTAACTGCAGAAACATTTAAAATCTGTGAAAAAAATCCATCCGTCTTCCATTTTTTCAACCTACTGTTTTTTCTCTCTCTTCCCCCCCCCCCCCCCCCCCCCCCGGAATCACTATTCAAAGCAGTATTAAAATAGTGCTTTTTAAAACTTATTTGGGACTGCTTCATTCCAGGGGGACTCTAAGGTTAGTCTCCTCCTCCCCACCCCTTCCTTTCTGTATTCAGTTATTGGTTACAATTTATTAAATTCCAGCCAACAGTCAGATGCTGTGCTGGTATTACACATGCTTTCATTCACTTAACAGATATTTATGAGTGCTAGGTCCTGGGGGTACCAGAGTGAATAAAACACACGCTAATGATCACGAAAGTCCCGCAAGCTGGAAATTTTCATTACCATTTCACAATTAAGGAAACCAAGACCACGAGAGGTTAATGTAACGTATTCAAAGAGCATTAAATGGCCTAGTCTTATTTTTTAACCTCATTAAAAGAGATGGTTATAAGGATGTTTATTGCTTTTATCCAGTTTATAGTAAGGCTATCATTGTATGTTGTAAGTGTGTTTTTTTTCCTTATTCTCTTTTATTGAAATGTGGTTGACATACAATGAAATGCTCATGCTAAAGCGTTCAGTTTACTATGTTTTGACATATTAAAAACCCATGAAACCATCACACTAACCAAGGTAATGAACATGTTCATCACTCCCAAAAGTTAACTCGTATAAGAATTCGCCCACCTCTGCCCTCAGTCCACCATTGATCTGCTTTCCATCCCTATATGTCAGTTTACATTTCTACAAATTTATGTAAATTGTACAATTTGTACTCCATCTGGCTTCTTTCAATTAGCTTAATTATTCTGGGATTCATCCATATTGTTGAGTGTATGAATAGTTTGTTCTTTTTTATTCCAAAATAGTATTTCACTGTATAAATATACCATAGATGTTTACCCATTCACCTGTTGATGGACATTTGGATTGTTTTCAGTTTAAAGCCACTACAAATAGAGTTTCTGTGAACACTCATACACAGGTCTTTGTTTGGACACATGCTTTCAATTGTCTTGGGTAAGTACTTAGGAATGGAACGATTAGATTACATGGCAAGTGTATGTTTAACTTTTTCAGAAACTGCCAGTGTTTTCCAAAGTGGTTGTACCATTTTGCGCTCCCACTAGCAGTATGTGAGGGTTCCAGTTTTTCCACACCTTAACTAACATGTAGTATGGCTAGTCTTTTTAATTGAATCATTCTAAAAGGTGAGAATGGATATCTCATTTGCATTTACCTAATGACTAATGGTGTTGAGCATTGCATTATTAGATATATATAAATGGTCAAGATTATTATATCTTCTTAACAAATTAGTAATATCCTTTACTCTGAAATCTGCTTTGTCTAATATTACTATAGCCATCCAGCTTCCTTTTGGTTAATGTTAGCACAGTATAGCCTTTTAATCCTTTCACTTTTTACCTATTTATGTCTTGTATTTGACATGCATTTCTTGTAAGTCTTGCTTTTTAAAAAATCCACTTTGGTAATCTTTGTCTTTTAACTGGAACATTTAGAACACATAGATTTAATGTGATTATTGATAAGATTAGGTTTGAAACTACCATCTTTTTTCTACCGTCTCTCAAGAGTTGAGGTCATTTGTGACCTAATGTACAATTTTTTTAAAACTATAATTTAATGTATTTTGCCTGTTTTTGTTTTAAGTGAGAGAGCTTAAGTCCAGTACTAATTGCTCCATCTTGGCCACAGCAGAAGTTTCTTTAAAGTGTGTTTTTAAAAAATTGTTATGAGATACTACTTTTTAAAAACAAATGTATCTAAACTTTAATGTGCTTAAAGTGAATGTAATTTCTGTTGATCCTTCATTTCTTTACCAGTGTTAGACTCCTAGGCAATGTCTTCCTAAAGACTGCCTAAATATGGTACCATTTCAGAAGATAGAGGCCTTTTTTCCCCCTTAACAAACACTATATTTTATTTTAGTATAGGGACTGCTAACACTAGGGAACAGACACATAATGCTAAATGTGACCAGAAGCTTAAGATAGAAGTATTATGATCCTTTAATTTTTAGAAGAATAATGTTCACACTGTTATCTCCCTATGTATATGTGTTTACTCAAAACATTCATTAAAGTTCTGCAAAGTGCCAGGCCGTAAGGATACAGCTGTGGAAAAGACAAGTCTCTCCTTCCACAGTGTTTATATGCTAGTGAGATAGACACTGAAATACGTAACAAATGCATATGTCTACCTGCACTTAAGGAAGTGATCATTTAACACGAAGAACCTTGAAACATGCCCCGAATGTCATCAAACAAAAGGAATATTCTTTATCAAATGAATGTTCTCTTTCCGCACAAAGTCATTTTTGGGGTTTCTTAGAGAAAGGCATATTTGGCTAATTCAGTTCATAAAGGGAATGGACATGTTCTTAGATTCATAGCTGAGACTCTAGTTGGTCTGTCCCCTTATGTGTGTCCAGAAATCCACATTGCAGACAATTCCTCAGGTCCTGGACACAATGAAATTTCACTTGGTAATGCCGTGGATCTTGCTGACACTTGCCTCTGCTCTCTGAAGGCAGTTCCTTATGGCCATGTCTTGCCTCTTGAGTAGACAGTCAGCTTCAGGACTTACTTGAAAACTAACTATGGTCTTTTGGGTCTTCTTCACACACAATGACAGCTGTCCATCTACTCTGGCCTGACTTGGGACTGTTGACTAAAAAACATTCACATATTTCTTCACCACATTTTGCTCTTTAACCTGTAGTTGTTCTTCAAATGTGAATCCCAAGTCCTAGCTATCCTCAAGTCCGAGCTATCTATCCACAAGGCCTAGCTCAGTCTCAGCGTCAGCATCTGGGACTCTGTTGCCATCTAGTGGCCATGGGCCACTCACCCTTTGCCCGCCATGTTCAGTGGTAACAGTGCCCTTCTAAGGAGTAGTAGTAGCTTTAAGAAGTTCAGCATTTATTCCAGTGAAGAAAACTTTGCTGTAAATGGTTTTGGAATTCTTCTTTTGGAATTACCTTCAGAGCCTGTGTTGTATTCTTCTAAACAACGTGGCCTAATGGTTAAGGGTGTGGATTCTGCAGTCAATGGTTTGGGTTTAAATCCCAAAGCCACAATTTATTGTTTGACCAGGTCAAATTACTTTACCACTGTGTGCCTTACTTTTTTTTTAAACCTGTTTGCAAAGAGAGAGGAAAAAATAGGAGGGGACAGGGTGGGATAAATAATAAAGATAAGTACATGGAGATAAAATGAGTTGATATGAGTAAAACTCTAAGAACAATACATCATCAACTCACAATAAATGTTAGCCACCAGGTGTGAGATTTTGGCCAAGTTTCTTAACGCTTCTGAGCCTCATTTGACTCATTCCCGAAAGCGGATTAATGTTTAACTACCTTGAGTTATTGTGAGAATTGAATGAAATGGTTCACGAGCACACAGTTTAGTGCCTGGCATGTGGTAAGCTTTCAATAAACGTTAGCTGCTATTATCACTACTCTCCTCAGTGATGGAAAATCCATGACCTGTAAGAATCACATTGGATTTAATAAATATCCAAGTTATTTTGGCCAAGTCTGAGTAAACACACTGATGATAACATTTTCCTTTAGCCACCTCCTCTTTGACTCTACCACACTAAACACTATCCACAAAGCCCCTTTTCTCGGCTTTTGTGATTTTTTTTTCTTGATACTCCTTTAGTTTTTCTTTTCTGCCTTTTTTCCTGGTTCAATTTTTACCTTGCTGCCCCCATCATTGAATGCACCTCAAATTCCAACTTCAGCTGTGTGCTTTTCTCCTTACACTCTCTCTTTGGTGATGGGGTCTACTATTTTATCTCTGCCCAGAATCTTCCACCTCCTTTCTCTCCTTCTCCAGAACAGAATTGGAATCACCCTGGACGCTCCTCTCAGGCCCGCATGTCTGGCCCCTCACTCACACATGCCTCTTCCTTGGCGCTACTAGTGGTGATCCCTGGATCAGGCTTTGTGTTCCTTTGTTAGATCAGAGGGCTCCAAATTTTTCCATCTTGCACTCCCTCAGGAAATCATTTTGAGCACATATTCCCAACAAACATCTGTTTATTTATAAATTATGCACATGTTCTCCTTTGCTAACAGATATATCTTTGTTTCCCAATTTGTATGCCAGCTTTATTAGGTTTGGTCTCTAACCCCCTTACAGCTTGTTTTACTTTAAACATGGCTTGCATTCTTTTTTTTAAATTTAATTTAATTCTGAAATTTTTTTTCAGTTACAGTTTACATTCAATATTATTTTGTATCAGTTTTAGGTGTACTGCATAATGGTTAGACAATCATATACTTTACAAAGTGTTCCCCCTGGTACTTCCAGTCCCCAAGTGGCACCATACATAGTTATTATTATATTATTGACTATATTTCCCATGCTGTATTTTACATCCCTGTGACTATTTGCAACTACCAATCTGTACTCCTCAATCCCTTCACCTTTTCACCCAGTAACCCTTCCCCCTGTCCCTCTGGCAACCATGTCTGCATCTGTGAGTCTGTTTTGTTTGCTTGAAAATATTGTTCTTTAGATTCCACATATAAGTGAGATCCTACTAATGTATTTATGTATATTATTTAAAAAGAGAATGCCATTGAAATGAGAATGAAGAGTTTAAATGTTTTAATGACTTTAATTTTGTATATTAAATGGATACAAAGTGCCTTTTTGCTCTTGCTAAATGTGTTATAAATATCTTTCAGTAAGAACAATAAGTTTGAATGTGCCTAGTTATTTCTGAAATGTTGACTGACACTTTGTAACACATTTATTTAAAGGTGTGGATCCATGGTTGGCTTAATGTGGATACTTTTTAATGTCTTAGTTAATGGGAAAAAAGAACCCCCTCAAAACACATCGATCCCAGACAATGGAAGTGTTAGTTGTCTGTACCTACTAAGTCATGATAATTATTTTTTATTTGTGTCTGGAATTATGTTAAAGATTTTTTGAAATGCAACATATTTTTAGTATAGCTGAAGTTTTCTTCTCCTATTTTACTTCTCTTTTATGTTTGTTTAGTTGGTTTTTATGTTTGTTTTTTGTTTTCCCATGAGTGATATAACCCAGAGAATATATTAAGGAGACGTGGTAAGGATGGTTTTGTCAGCATATTTTCTCTACCATCTTTCCCCAGAATTGAATATCATCTTTCTTAAAAACTAGTAAGTGACTTGGGGAAATGTCCAAGATACATCTTTAAGAGAATAAAAAAGTAGGCTAGAGCACTAAAATAACCAATTTTTAAAAATCTCTCTGTGTGTGTATGTAGTTGTGCGTGTGTGCATGTACACACACAGAGAAGGGTAACTGGAGGAAAATATACCAATATTTTCATAGTGTTTATCTCTGGAAGATATGATAATGGTTGAGTTTTATAATATTCCTCGTGCTTTTCTCTTTTTTCAATAAATAACATTAATTTTAGATCATAAAAATATTTTGTTTTAAAACAAAATTGTATGAGATATTTTTAAAAAGAAACAGATAACATTTGAATTTCAGCCCCCAGATCAGCTATGCTTTTACTGTTTATCTGTATAGTCATAGCTATAATATAGTGTAATCATTGATATTCATAAATAATAAATCTAGGCTAATCAGAAAACAAGTAATGTTCTATATGCTCTGCTTATGACAAACAGGTAATACATTTTAAATGAATTTATTTTTTAGAAGTTAAAGAATTTTTTACATGTAATAAAAATTTTTTACATGTAAAAGGCTAATCTTGAATTATTTGAAAAATTTCCATAGAATGCCAACTGAATAAAAATGACATGAGTTTCTCATTAGAAAATCTTACTGAGAATATCAGGGGTGATATAACTTAGGGGATATATTTTGTGTCCAATGTTTACTGTAAATAATTTCAAAATGATATAAATATATAGAAGGGGTTTTCAGACTGTGTGCCCTGAAACGTTTCAGAACTCCCTGCAAAGTAGACAGAGGGGTCTTCCCCAACCACCCAGGAAATACTTCAAAAGCCATGCAGCTTCTATCATTTTAACGGACTGGGCATCCTGCATAAGTCTGGTTTGAAAGAAAGCGTTCTACTGCTAACTTAGAAGTGTAACAATGCTTGGATTTTTGCCTGCCACACTGAGGAGAAAATGGGGCGCTTGCATAAATATAAACTAACTATATTTTAAAAGGTCTTTCACTATAAATATGTGCTTCTTCTATCCATACTCCTCTGAAAGACAAAGTGTTAGCTGAGAACAAAGCCTTAAAGTCTGGAGACATGAACCCATACCAGAACCTGGAAAGTGGATTGGCCAATCTTCTCAGGCCAATAGAGGACTTCTGCACAAAGTTCTTTGTGGGAACAGAGGTGAGTTGGAATTACATGTTTTTAAAATTAATATTTTTAATTACACTGAAATATATGATGATAACCCCTATTGCATGTTTGCTTTATGAAAACTTATTTATACACTTTTCATATTTTAAAATGCTTATTTGCACTTAACATTTTTTACCACAATGCCTCATAGATTCATACTTAAAATGTTCCTGGAAAAATTTACAAATTAAACGTGACCCCTTTTTACTAATAAGGTATTGATCAACCTGCAAATTTTATCAAGCACCGCTACCCTATGGAAGAAACCATGCTAAGTGTTAGAGATTTACTAAGAAAATATATTGTTTTGTTAGGCCAGCACCATCTACTAAGAAAGATTATAAAACAACTCACTCAATTCAAAAGATAAATAACAGATGGATATAATAACAATAATAGCTGCCATTTTTTAGTATTTACTATTATAACCAAACTGGGCTCACTTTTATTAAACACTTTCTATATAGCAGGGTCTGTGCCAGGTATTCTCCGAATTGTATTTCATTTCATCTTAATAAGCTTGTGAGGGTGACACTACTATTCCCATCTTACAGGTAAGGAAACGGGGCTCAGAACTTCCTCTTATGGTCATACAGGAGCAGAGATGCCTGATCATTCATGACTCTACTTTCCTGAAATAAATCGTTTTTCTCCCTGGCGATACCACTGTGGGAAAACACTAGAGTTCAGTCTCACGAATGCAATCTGCATTCGCACTTCAGTATTACAGGGGAATGAGTCCGTTCCGCCAGCTCTCGGGAATGCACTGCCTGCCAGGCACCGCGCTAGGCCCTGGGTCAGAAACGAATCAATAGCGCAGTCCTCGTCCTCAGGGTGCTCACCGCCTGCTTAAGGAGCAGACGCGCTGGCGGCACGCCAGCACCAGTCCAGAGGCCAAAGGGCCCGGAAGGAAGAGGTTGGGGAAGGTGATGTGCGAGCTGTCTGGACACTGGCAATTGTATAGGCACCGGAAAGATCAGGGTGAGGGTACGGTTTGCAACAGAAGTAACAGCCTGAACTGTATTTTGAAGTTATGAGAGTTTGGGGTTTGTCTGAAGATAGTGAAATAGTTTGGCGCAGGAGGGAAAGCTATGCCTAGAATGATAGGTTGGGGTCAAACCAAAGGGCCTTTTCCGCCACGTCAGTAACTTGAATTTCACTTGGTAAGCCATGGAGCACTACTGAATAGATACCTGTTTTTATAATGTGGGCTTCACACCAGAGTTTTTAGACTTTTTTTAATTCTGAAAAACACATGACAAAACTGACCATTTTAACCATTTTTAAGTGTACAAATCAATGGAAATGAGTACGTTCCTGTCAGCGAGCAGCCGTCAGCACCGCCCATCTCCAGAGCTGTTTCACCCTCCCAAACAAACTCAGTTCCCACTGACACAGCAACTCCCCATTTCCTGCTGCCCCAGCCCGTGGCCACCACCATTCTACTTCCTGTCTGTGAGTGTGACTACTCCAGGTACCTCGTGCAAGTGCCATCATGCGACTTTTGTCTCTCTGCCTGCCAAAATGTTAAAGCAAGGAAATGGCAGCTTTAGAAAGCTAAATAACTGCAAAATCTTAAAACGGAAATGAAAGCAGAATGCCGTTTGCTTAAACTCTGCAGCGATGACTCAGTGAAACATGAATAAACTCCACATACCTCATATTGTAGCCTATCAGATGCTGCATAATTCAGCTCCTCCCTGTCTCTCCATCCGTCTGCACCTATCTCCCTCCGTCCCTTCAGCTGCTCTGATTTTTCTCTCATTCTTCTTAAACACCAGACTCTTTCCTGCCCATCTAGCCCTTGCCCTGCTTGGAATTAACTACATCCATCATTCATCAGATATTCTTGAGCATTTAATACATACCCCACACTGTTCTCGGCCCAGAGAATAGAGCAGCGAATAAAACAGTCGGAAGGTGAGGTGGACAATCCAGTGGAACAATCTTCTGCAACCCAGGGCAGAAGGATCTCCAACCCTCCAATCCTTCTGCCCTGGGACCTGGGCTGGCTAGTGCAGGGCGGAAGTGGGAAAGCAGAGAGGCCAGGCTGGCGAGGACTTCAGGGGGCCAGGCCAGAGACAAAGAGGGCCTGACCAAGGGGCCCAAGAAGAGCAACAGAGAGGCCGAGGACATTGGAATTGTCAGAACTGAGCAACTGGATGGAGAAGGATGTGACGGTGTCCAGCTGCATGGCTGATGACACAATGGGCACTCCACACGGGATTAGTTGACCTGATTCTAACCATTCCCGTTTGACCTGGTTTCATTTCAGTGCCCTGGGTGCCAGCCATGAGACCCAGGAGATACTAACTCTCTTCCAGGACTTCGGTGAGGGCTGGGGTCACATCCATAAAGCCCCGAACAGTCCTGGCAAGCCCGGGGTGCTCGGTGCATGGGGACTCTGAGAGGACGTGCCGCAGGCAACAGGCTAGACGCGGACACTAGACATGCACGGTCTGTCTGTGCCCTTAGACTGTGACTGTGAATGGAGGGAGCGCTTGTCTCTGACTCTGAATTTCCAGCACCAAGCACAGTCCTTGGCTAAATGAATTAACAGGGTGAATAAAGCACAGGTGAGTGAAGGACTGGGCTCTGACCCCAGGGAGCTGTTCCTTCCCTCGCCTACACATCCCAATCCATCTCTTCCTCTGAGTCCTCTTAACTTTTGTTTTTATACAACCTTCTCTGAGTCCTCTTATTATCCAGTGGAGGTGGGGGTGGAAAATGAGGAGACTGCATTTGGCTGACCTTGAGCAAGTCATTAAATCTCTCGGAGTCTCAGTTTTTGCATCCGTAAGGCTACATTTGAGGGGGTTCAATTTTTTCTCTTACCCTCTCCCTCCTCTGCCATTGACTAGTTCTGTCTTTCCCATTCGTGCAGCTGTTTCTGCCTCTTCTTTACAGAGGCCCCTCTGCCTTCCCCTCTCCTTAAAGTGGCTGTAAGTGGAACTGAGATATATATATTACTTACTATGTTATTTGGATGGAATTTTATGTTTCCTGTTCTCAACTGTAGATGGTAATGAGTACCATATTATGAATTCATATTCCTTCTTTCTCTCTTATCCCACGAATATTTACTCAGTACTGTTTTGTAACATGCTGAAAATAAATCACTGAGCAAGTTGGATGAAATCCCTCGCCTGGAGCTTTCAGTCCATTGGGACAATTTCCTGTTGACAACAAAACTTTGGAAACCCAGCAGTTGGAACTTGTGTACATAGATTGTCTCCATAATCTTGTGTTCTCCATGTCACTGTGTGTAGATAAAAGCTCAACAAACTCATTTTCTTTTGGTTTAAGATAAAATCAAGTAATCGCGTTGAGGCTTTCCCCAACATTGTACCAAGTTATCATTTGATTAAATTGACCTGTTGCTTGGTGTTGGTTACAGTCAGTCTTAGCACATGAACATGGGGCGGTTTCTTGTTTCTGAAGTGGTCACTGTACTCATCAGGAACCTGTAATATTTTTAGGAAGGTGAAGTGATATACACAGATTGGAAACTGGAAAGAGACCCTGAAACTGGCCGGCTGATGAGTAAGTTTTTCTGTGTGTTCTATTTTTAATTGGTTGTTACTTTTTCACAAAATACTGAGTAACCCAGGCCTTGCTAATGGAAAGGAGAGCACCCGGGGCCCTGATGCTACACTTGTTACTCAGAGTGAGGGCCTCGGACAAGCGGCGCAGTTGTCAGCTGGGAGCTGACGGGAAATACAGAATCCTGGATCCTTCTGCAGGCCTACTGAGTCTGCATATGGATTTTAATAAAAATTCTAGTTTTGTTTTCACACCAAAACTGGAGCACAATTTTAAAATAATCATGCTGAGACAGGATAGTGAGAAACGAGGAAAATTCCTTGGCAAGTGGAAAAGGAAAACTGAGACAGAGAGCTGAACAAACTGGCCCAGCAATTTACAGCCAGATACAGAGGATCATCTCCCCAGAGATAACATCCAGGCCTCAGTTGTATTTCAGCTCCAGGCCCAGAAAAGCAGCAGAATCAGGTGGGCGATGCTAGAACCACCTGCAATGACTAAAGACCTTTTGCCCTGTCACTGACCAATCAGTGGAGACCAAGACCCTGAAAGGAGAGCCGATGAATATTCAGCTGAAACCCTCCCCTGAGACCTAAGATTCCTACCTGCAAGAAAGAGATAAAAGCCTCAAGACAAAGGACCTAGTGCGCACGCTCTCCTTCTGGGGAGCATCCTGTATGTTGCTTCCCATACCCTTCCCTTTCCCTCTCTTCTTCCCCCACAGGCACGGCATCTCCTAAACTCTCAGGGACCCTAAGACTTACAATCAAGGGAGCAATGGGCAGCTGCAGCTCATCCCAGGCCGATCCCCTGAGCCTGTCCCCAGGCCCCCTTTTCTCTGGCTTCCCAGTGAGCTACGGCAGCCCAGCCAGGGCTCTCCTGTTGCTTCTTCTGTGCTAAGCCCTTTCTCGTTTCCTTGTCCCCAGCTTTAATAAATGTATGCTCATCAGCACCTGGACTCGTGTTGTGAAATCGTTCCCACATGAAGTCAAGTACCCACACACTGCAGCTGGCCCTGGGCAGACCCCCTCAGAGCCCGCCCCCTGCCTGGTAACAATGCTGCTTCAATAATTCAAAAACTTGGTAGTTCATCTATGTGGAAAATCTGAGTCCATGTGAAATTATATGCTAACTTTATGATGATCTTGAAGACCTCAGGGCAGTATGGCAGAAGCACCTGTAGGACCCCTTTTGGGGCTGGGACTGGTGGTGTCCATGTTTCCCTGCCCCCAGGGCCAGACTTGGGGCAGGTGAGCAGAGGTATTAGGGTTGCACCCAGGGGTGAGCAGGAATCAGTCAAGATTCAGGCTCCTCAACCAGCAAAGCTCCCTGTCAAAGCTCATAGCCTTGGAGTTTCCTAAAGTGACTACTTACTTTAAAGCTTTGGGGTTTTCACGGCATAAAAGTATACTTGAACCACATTTAAAAGCACAGAGTAACCATAAGCAAAGGAAGAGGCAGCTCCCGGGAACGCTAGAACAGGGGAGAGCAGTCGGGCGGAGCCGCCAGGCTAGGTTTGCCCAAGGGGCCCGGTCAATCCCCTGAGTGTTTGGACCCGTGGACAGGAGTGGCTGCGATCAGAGCCACAGCCTGCAGGGAAGAGCTGCGGAGGCTCAGGTCTCTGCCTCCTACTTCGCTCCCTTCACGTCCGTCTGCTGAGTTGGGTGCCTAGACCAGAGCCTGCCCCGGGCCTGGGAAGGCCTGTTTTGTAAGCATTGCCTCCGGGGAGCCCTCCTAATCTGGAAACAAGAGCATTCCCACCTTGGTAACCTAGGGTCCCCTGGCCAGAAACCCAAATGTGTTATTGATGGGATAGGGGCATTGAGAGAGGGTTCGATGTGACCCACGAGAAGGTCAAATACATGCAGAACTGAGAGCAATTTTCCTTTTTTTTCTTTTGAGACCGATTTTCCACCTTCCATTTATTCCCAGTTCTGTGATCTGAGGTTGAATTCAAAATTATATATTGGATATAATGAAATATAATCAACTACTTCTATGCTTTTTATGTTTCTATTTATTCAGTACTTTATTACTGTTCCTTGTTCACGTCCCACATGCCAGGCCCTGGGTGACCCGGCGGCAGCCCCACCACGCCCCTGACTTGATTACACACGGGTGGACACTGGTTCCTCCTGGAGGCTTCAGAGGCTTTCCGGGGGGGGGGGGCTTCCCTCCTTCTGCAGCTTCCTAAACTGCTTTTCAAAGGGCCCAAGACAAACAGGGTTAGTTATTATTTTTTTTTAACAAATTTTATTCCATGTATAGAATAACCAATGACAATAAACTTAAAAACCAAGGGTTTTATATTTGAACCTCCTTGGTGGTTTTTTCTTTCTTAATTTCATTTATTCATCAAGTCACTACTGAGAACCTACTATGCGCCAGACACTGCTGATATAAAGATAAACAAGATACTGTCCTCCCCTAGGGGAGTCCCACAACCTATTGGCAAAGTCAAACACATAAAAGAATGATGACATTCTCTTGAGCTGTTAAGGAAAGGCCCCACCAGCCTGGCCAGATAGTTCAGTTCATTAGGACATCATCTTGATACGCCAAGGTTTCAGGTTTGATCCCCAGTCAGGACACATGCAAGAATCAACCAATGACTGCATAAAGAAGTGGAACAATAAATCGATCTCTCTCTCTCTCTCCAATCAATAAAAGATGAATTTTTTAAAAAGGCTCTACTGAAGAGAGATGCAGTTGAGCTGGATCCTAAAGGGCACATTGCAATTTTCCAGATGGAGAAAGACCTTTCATGTAGAAAGAGTTAACAAGTGCAAAAAAATGGAAGCTCGAGAGACCAGGGGACAGTGAGGAAACAGGGACATCTTATGGCCAAACCATAGTAATAGAGAAGGCAACAGCAATAGGAGAGGTGCCAGGAAGGACATTTAGGTCCAGATGGCAAAGAGCCTTGAGTGCCCTACTAATTACTGCAGGCTTTATCCTAGAGCCACCGAATAATCAGAGAACCACCCTGGCAGGAGAACAGGAGCGGGATTACTTTACTGGTGATACCATAAGGCTCATCCCCGGGGCTTATGGGCATGGGCAGCAAGGAGTGGGAGACACTGAGGACGGGCCTGGGGGAAAGGAAGCCCAAGCAATGGCACAGAAACAGGCCACAGAAGCCGAAGGACCCCGGGGCCTGGGCAGAGACTGCAGGGGAAGTCCTGATCTTCAAGTCCAAACCTGCTTCTCCTCTAGTCTTCCCAGTTTCCATAAATAGAAACTCTGTGGAGCCGATTGCTTTTACCAGAAATCTGGCTGTTATTCTCAGCATTTCATCTCTCTCACTCCTCCTATTTAAGCCATTTCCAAGCTCTACCAAGTCTAGCTTGCGAATGCCTTGATTATCTACCCTTCTCCATTGCACCTGCATCTAAGCCACCATCCTACCACCAGAACTACCACAAGAGTCTCCTGGTGTTCCCTCTTTGCTTTTACCTGCCACTAATCTGTTCTCCCCACAGCAGCCAGAGAATCTTTTGGAACTGTCAATCAGATTGTCTTCTAGGCCTAAAGCACTCATTAAAACATGTGACACTTAGCCCTGGCTGGTGTGGCTCAGTGGACTGAGTGCCGGCCTGTGAACCAAAGGGTCACTTGTTCAATTCCCAGTCAGGGCACATGCCTGGGTTGCGGGCCAGGTCCCCAGTGGGAGCACATGAGAAACAACCACACACTCCTTCTCTTTCTCTCTCCCTTCCCCTCTAAAAATAAATAAGTAAAACTTTAAAAAAAAAAAGGGTGGGGGGGATCTCTCTCTTTAAACAAAAAACATATGACTCTTAGAATATAACCTAAATGTCTTTCCTACAAGGCCCTGCATGGTCTGGAAGCTCTTGGTCCTTGTTTGTTTTACATGTCTCACACTGGAATTACCAGACTCGATCTTACTGCCCTCTTCAGATTTACAAAGACACAAAACACTTGTTCCTCAGGATTTTGGTGCTCCCTCTGTCTGGAATGTTCCTCCACACCAAAATCTTCCCTGGTCATACTACTGTCAGGCCTAAATGACTCATCTTCAGAGAAGACTTTTATGAGCTTTCAGTCTAATTTATGCATGTCCCTTTTTATTCTTTCTTGTAATAATTTTTTCCTTCATAGCACTTCTCATATTTTTTACTCCATAGTCTGGGATTTGTTTAGTGCGTATGTGTCTGTGTTTCCCATTAGACTGTGAGTTACATGATGGTAGGATCATGTTGGTTTATTAACCATTGTTTACCCAGCCATCTATAGTACCTCGGACATAGAGGTAATGCACAAATATTTATTGACCAATTGAATGAATAAGAAGATGAAGTCTTCCTCTGAGAAGTGGCTTTGATGGGAAATTCCCTGGACATTTTATAAAAAAAAAGAACAGGAGCTATTCCTTCATTCATTTGCCCCAACTGACCTCTGGTTCTTTATACTGGGAGCTCATTAATCAAGACCTGTCTGTCCATTGGAAGTCACTTCATTCTTTTACAATGTATACGGTGTTATTAAAGGTGAAATGGCTTTTTCTACTCCGACAGCAAAGAAGCCAGTGAGCCTCTACACTGTCCATGATGGTGCCGTCCACACTGTTCAGAGATCACCTTTTTACAAGGACATTATCCTCACTGTTGGGGGATGGAACATAGCCATCTGGAAGGAAAGTGTCACGGTACGTGGCTTGCAACAACGAGGAATGGGTGTGTGGTCCTTTGTTATTGAAAAAGACAATGGGAACAACAGAGTGTTCTGACATAACAGTGCCTTTGGGACACTTTTTAAAGAAATTGAAACAGATGGCCTGGCTCCAGCTTGGCTCCAGCAGAACTACTATAAGCCCTTTGAAAACCCAACCATTTGCTTTTCTTCCCTGAGGGAAGGAAACATTTATAAGTCACTTGTTCTCTGAAAGCTAACAGTCTTTTCTTTGACATCCATATATAATGATCAGATGATTTGTATTTTTCCTCCCCTGAAAATACAAGAAGGGGTGCTGATTACTATATGAAGTCCAAGGAGAAGTGCTAGGTCTGTCATCTCTGCTTCTGCACCAGGAATATGCCAGCAAGTTCAGAAAGTGGGAACAAGAATGCTGAAGGGTCTGTCCCTAGCAGACCAGAGGCGTACATGGGTCAAAGTGAGACAGTGCCAAGAAAACCTGGTGGCCAGGGTTAGGCGAGGGCCTGGGTCCTGACTGACAGAAGCTCAGCTGCCAAAAACTAGAAAGACTGAGAAAATCCTGTGAAATAAGGGTGTGGAGAAATCATAATAATATGTCCCTTTGGTGGGCAATTAAAATGATCAAAATCTGAAATATATATATTCTTTGAATAAATAATCTGTGTAAAGTATTTATATGTACATATAAATTTTTATAAATATTTTTTCTTTGACCTAACACTTGCACTTCTGGGACTGTAACACAAATCTCAAAAAAAGAAAAAAGGATGCATGAATACATGTACAAGTTTTTCATTGAAAAAATTAGAAACTACTTCAGTGCCTATCTGCAAAAGAACTTCTACTTTATACCAATGGCCTTCTGTATGGGTTTTTTTGTTGTTGTTGTTTTTTTTTACAATTGGCAAGTGTTAGCTTTGTAATTGAAGAAAAATGAAAATGAAAATTTAGGCAAGACTGTCCAAAGACTATGCAGGGCCAGGAGGCTGGATAGCCACAGAAACCGAAGGATGTAGGCAAAGTGGGCAAGGACAGGTTTGGAGTGTCACCCCTAAGGAGTCCGTGAATCTGAGACATTCCTCCTTCCCCAAAGGAAAGGTTGCTTCTTCTGCGTGTATTGGAGGGTAAGAGACAGTTCCTCTGTCTAGTTCAGTTCCTGCAGATGTAAATAGATAAAGGAGTATACCTGGTTGCCAGGTGGAGCACGAAAGTGGGAAGAAAGTACATTCTGATCATCTATCCCTATGAAAACCTCCCATAGAAGGCAAATTACCCCATGGGGAGAAAGGACAAGATGATCTTACGATATTTTGCTGGTCTAAAATCTCTTCCCAATCATGTGTACAAGTCATTGGATGCAGCTCACAGCTAGAATTGACTTTTTATTTGCTTTTCCTGGCTACCAGAGCTGTTTCCATGGGAAGGAGACACCTGACAGCAAAATAGAGGTATAAGCAAAATTTTCATAATCTTTACATATCTGATACACAGCAATCTCCAGAGGAATATCAATGGACTTCAGTAGCAGTTGGATTATTAGAACCATTAACGGCTTGATTGGGAGGTTTGCTCTTTTATAAAAAGCAATTAAACTAAGAGGAAAAGGGTGTTATAAAAATATACAGGAATGAAAAGAGTTACCATTATATAAAAGTCCTACAAGTAAAAGAAAAAGAGTTCTCAGTAGGCGTAATTTTGCTGTTACCTAATCATAGCCATCTAAGTTGTACTTAAAATCATTGTGAATGTCCCTTCAATAATAACACAGCTTTTAATGTGTCTGTTAAAAAATTTGCTTAAAGATCGGACCCCTCCTTCAGTCATCCTGTGCTCCGAAAAGGTACACCTCAGGGCACTGGTCTCTGACCAGGCCTGGAGTCTTCTATATCGGCCGAGAAGATGGGTACATCGATATCTGGGACCTTCTGGAGAAAACCCATGAACCAGCCCAGTCACAAAACATCTGTATAACTATGATCACCTACATCAAACCCTGGACCTTTTCTGGTATGTTAATTCTGGTCAAACAGCCTAAGTCATTTTGCTTTTTTTTTGCGTAACTCAGGAAAGTGTCCACATTCATCTGGAAAGCCTCCCGTGTTCCTACTCGGGTTTCTGTTTTTCTTCCTTCCGTTTCCCTTCCTTCTCTCCTTCCCCTCCTCCCTTTCCTTCTCATTCCTCCCCTTCTCTCTTGCACTGTCTGTCCTAGGCCAGAGCTTCTCTCACTAATTTCCTCATCAACAGTCATTTCTGGGACACATTTAGTATGCCAAGCAGAGGGTGATTTTGAGTCACACAACAAAAAGCATCCTTCTTATCTTCTCTTAATAATTTATTCCCTTTGTCCTAATTTCTCTGTTTCGACTAAGTGCTACTTTCTATGTAAATCCAATATATTTGTCTCTTATAAAAGAGGCTAAAAACACCAAAGTGTGTTTTCCTGTCTTTGCTACAAAACATTGCTTTTGAATACCTACAGGGATTACAAATCTAGGACTTAGCCATCTGAACCAGATTTTCTGAAAATGAGAAGGAAAAACACACACATGATGAGACAGAAAATAAAAAGGATCAAACACATTTGTGATTTATATACATCTTAATTGCTCAAAGGAAACAATTTGGTGTTTTTTTCTAGCTTCTGGTTCTGGCTGTGCCTTTGAAACTCATCTGTATAATGATATCCTTCTGCCCTTACTGTGTCTTTGGTGAATATTGGCTTCATGATGTTTCTCTGGAAATCTTTCCCTGTGTTTTCCCTGCTTTCCTCCCAAGTCTGCTCAGTGGGCCCCACCACAGAGTCAGTCTCAACAAGGAGCCACACTCTGCCTACAGACACCAAGAAAGGAAGATTCGAGGTGGACAGGGTGGCTGACAAAGGCTCAGGGTCTCAGCTTTCATTCCATCAACTGGAAAAAATGACTTCGATGTTAATATGGTCCCCACTCATGCATGTCTGACGAAGATGCCAAGATCACTGTAACCATAGCAGGTCCTTTGGGAGACCGCAAAACACAATCACATCTCATGTTTAACCTCTAAGATGGCTTTCTGGTTGCTGAGTTGTTTTTCCCCCCTGTTTTTTGATCTTGCAGCTAAGCAGCAATTTATAGCCGTAGCTGATTATTATGGGACTCTGCATATATTAGAAATTCCTTGGACATTGAGTCACCCTTCTGTCAACGAGGTCAGTAAATTTTGGCTTTGGGGATCTATGTGACTGATACTGCTGTGGCATGTTTTAGAAGTGTTTTCAGAAAAGACAGCATTTTTACTTTATAAAAGGACAAAAGACTCATACAGTCAAAAATAAGGGGATGTATTTCTGTTTTATGAGTTAAATAGTTTGAAGCTAGGAAAAAAAAAAGCACGCAATGAGAGGAAGGAAGTAAATAAAATCCAGATCCAGAGAAGAATTAATTTGGAGATTCATAACCAAGAGATGTTATTTTCAGGTTGTAGCCGAAGCATGGGACCCCTATGTCAGTGGTGCCCTTCCCAGAGGGTGCATTTGACATTTTTACACATCCTCCCATTGCTCACCGCGACCGCATCCTCTCCCAACCGGGGGCACTGCAAGCAGCGTGTCTGAAGTGACAATATTATATCCCATCATGCCCACCAGCCAAAGGTTGCGGGCAATGTTAATAAGGAGGTTATAAAAAGATCAATAAATAGAAATGCATAACTACACATACACCCAACATTAAATACATAGATTGCAATCTGTTGCAAGTCTCAACAACATCAGCGTGGTTACTGTCAGGCAAAAAGCTTCCCCTCCCCCAGTCACCTTGCCCAAGGTCTGTGCCTACTTTCCTGTTTCTATTCTTATGCCTTCATGCCAACCCCTCCAAGGGACCAGGAGCTCAACTCTGCTCCCAGTCCTTTTAGGGTCGATTTTGATACCCTCATCGGGGTTTTCCAAGTTCTGTTGATACAAAACTTCCTTCTGTGTAGAAATGAGAAGGAAGAAAAGGAGAAACAAGCAATTCCTGAATACTTCTTCTACAAAACTGCAAAATATTTTGCAGATTTCTCCTGCCAATCTCACTCCCTTCCTGGAATACCCTAATTCACAGGATCCTAAAACCTAGCACAGCATCCCCCAAATTGAGTTACTTTAATAGTGGACCTATGGGCAGTATCGCAAAATACATAACGTATCTGGTGAATTACAAGCTGCAGGAAGTCTTCCAGAGCTTTGTAAAGAACATGGGAGGTGTCCGTGTGGGCTCCCCTCCATGGGCCTGTGTTTCTGACAGGTATCAAGTATAAGCCACTACTTTGAAAGAGAAGTCAAGCACCTGGAATATGTAGAACAGCGCAAGAAAATCCGTGAGCAAGAAAAGAAAGAAATGGAGCTGGAGGTGGAGAAGAAAAAAGTTGTAAGTGAAATTTACAGAAATGACAGTTGATTTCCTCTAACCCCAGTGGAAATATGTGTGTTTGGCTTCCTCCACAATCTGAATAGGGAAATTAGGTCTTTTCACATTCTTCTCTCATTCTCCTGAGAGTCAGGAGGGCATTTGTCTGATTCCCTCGCTTACCATGCATGGTGGGTAAGCAACGACCGTTGGACACCTAGTAAGAGCCTACCTAACTGAAGTTTCTGAAATTCTCTATAATATCAAAGTTTTTTAGATACAAGGATATCCAAATACCATTTATACATACACTGATTCAAAATCTGAAAGCTTTCATTATACAGAATTTTTAACGTCTGGTGAATAATGTATTAAAACAGGCAGTACAAAAAGAGTGGAATAAGGAATCAGGACACGTGAGCTCAAACCCCAGCTCTGCCACTCACCCACTCTGAGATCTGGAGCAAGGCTCTTACCTTCGCTGAGCCTCGGTTCTCTTGTCTTTAAAATGGGAATCCTGACTACTACCTTTTAGGATGACGGTAAGGCTTTCAGTTAAGGAACCTGACAAATAGTAAACTTCCAGTAAATAGAAGCTAGTATACAGACAGACAGACGGACCTGAATGTTACTATAAAATACTGGCGATGTGAAATTTGAGGCTGGGGAGGATTTGTTTCAGCAGCCATTCATCTTAAAATGCCCTAAAGCCCTGAATACCCACCCCCGTCCTCCTCCTGCTCAGCCTCTCTGTTCGATAGGAATTCTGTCACTCCCTTGGTCTGTGAATTCAGCCGTGAGGCCGTCTCAGTCCATATTTCTGTTTCTTCTTGCTCATTCTCTCCTTTGCCCTCTTTCACCCACATTTCCATCCCTGATCCCATCTGTAGTTTCCCACTACAAAATGAGCATCCTCCGACATAACTTCTCCTGTGGCGGCCTTAGGTCTCAAAACCACAAGCAGGTGTGAATATTTCAACATACTGAATTAGCAAATAGATTAAAGTCAGCGATTTTCAACCTTTTTCATTTCATGACACACATAAATTAATTACTAAAATTCTGCAGCACACCGAAAAACATTTTTTTCTTGTTGAGCTGACCAAAAAATAAGTATAATTTTGATTCATTCACACCAATGGTTATTGTTGTATTGGCTGTTGTCATTTTTTAACTTGGCAATCTAAGGGAAAAGAGGTCAGTGCCCCTGACTAAAGAGTCAGGTATTGCATGTTTTAAAAATTCTTGGGGCACACCAGTTGAAAACTGTGGATTAACATGATCACTTATTGATAGATAACTAATTAATATAATAAAAACAGAGAGCCTCATTTCAAAAACTATTTAGCAGTGACAGGTACAAAAGAATATCAATTAACGAACTTCTCATTGTCTCCCCAGCTTCAAAACAATGGCCTTGGTTGGACTCTCTGTGCACTCACAAATACTGGTTGAAACTTGGCTGTGGGAGGTGACCTGCCACCCTTTCCCTATGCCAGCAAGCAATTATCTCTGATTATTATGCGTTTTTCGATGCCATAGCAACCACTCCTAATTATCCACATCATTGGAAACAAGTAGAATTGTGGATAATACAAAAATAATTTGCCTGTAAAATACTTTTAAAACACCTGAGTATTATAATAATCAGAGTATCATGTGTTTGAGCTTCCAAAACTTTTCCAACTCCTTCTTGCAACTTTATTTCCATTTGATGTCATGCCCTCTTTTAAGTAGAGCTAGCTACCACTTCTCAGGTGTTCTCTGGAACTAGATTGTGGCTAAGTGAATGGATTTTAAAGGACCCCTCTGTTTCATGTAGAACATGAAAGGTCACCAAGGAAAAAACAACGAATGTTAGTCAGATATATCTTTACATAAGCAACTGCTGATAAAAGGGAAAATTGCAACAATTGAAACAACCTCAGAGGATTGCAGTGAGGATTAAGTGAGTTAAAATATTTACAGCACTTAGCCAGTAACTGGCACATAGAAAGTGCTTGCTATTAGTATCAATACAGAGGGCAGAAGAACATCACACCTCCGTCCAGCAAGGGGGGTCTTTAGGAGCCCCCCGCCCTCCTCCCCAGTGGCCAGGGGTTCGGCCGCATGCTGCAACCGTGATCCGAGGGGAGTCACACACCCACCTCCTTGTAAACATTAAGTCTGGATACAGTGCATTTCTTAAAAAATAATAGTAATTATAGTTTAAGCAGCACATGGAATAGGAATTTTCCTAACTGGAATTTCCGCTGGAGACCCATAGCTGGGAAAAGGAGCAGTTTCCATGAGATCCATAAGCTATGCCATCTATATGGGACATAAGAGAGAATTCTGCAACCTCTAATCAAGTACCCGCTCTCCAGACTATACACAAGGGAGCAAGAGTTATGGGGAAGAAGACGGAAAGGGGGCGTGCTTTTCAGAGAGAGGGGTCGGGGACTACGTATTCCCCACTTTCCATTTCTGCAACACCAGACCTGGTCAGCGGTCGCTTGCTGGCCACGATAGACAATGGCCTCCGACACCTGGCAGGGGGCCTGCTGAGCCACAGAAACCCAAAGACCAGGAATTCCCAAGTGACCAGAGTAGAATGTCCAGGAGAGTTTGGGAAACCCAGAGACTAGGGCCTGGACTCTTGAGCCTGGAAAGTCTGCAGGCAAGAGGTTGATTTAAACTGCTCTGACAGGGTGGAGAGAGGGTGGAGCTTCTCCTGATGGCAGGGTGAGGGTGCTGAGTTTTCCTGCGGCCGAGTGGACCTTTGGAAAGCAGCTCGGCCTTAAAAGTGCCAAAAGGACTTTCTAACGGGGGGTGAGGCGACCTCTGCAGAAAGAGGCTGAAGGTGCACATTGTAGTGAGGAGGCCCCAAGGGGCAGTCTCCACCTTGATATTAGACTTGCCTGGATCTCCAAATACCTAAAAATGACACTATTGCTAATACCTAAAAGGGATAGGAAATGCTATGTGATTTGTCACATATATTGCAAAGGGCTGGGATTAGAAGAATAGCATTTTCCCCCTCAAGTACCTTATCAAGTCTTGCTCTTTTGTTGAATTGGTTACCGTCACTAACATGCTCAAAGCACTTACTGGGTGTCAGGCACTATTCCAAGGACTTGACATGTATAATAATTCATTCAATCCTCATAGTACTATGAAGTACATACAACAATTTTTAGGCACAAAGAATCTCAGAAAGCAGCTTTATTAAGAGAGAAAAGGCAAACACATGGAAAGAATACAGCAAGAGAAGGGAGCAGCAATCATTGTGAATGCTTAAAAGAGGAAAAGATCTCTTAAAAATGATCCCTCTAAAGACACTAGAATAAAAGCTCAGGGTAGTGACCCCCTGGATGGAATCCGCAAAGACAGGGCTTTGTGACAAAGGAGCAGAAGGCACAGAGGACAACAGGATGAGGGCACAACAAGCGGAGGAGAAACAAAGGCCACGCGAGGGTGACACACCTAAAGTTCATCTGAAAGAAGGCACAGATGAGAAAACAGACCTTAAAAATCATGACCGCTCTAGCCGACATCACAACGGACCCAAATGCCGCAATCATTAAACCAGAGCAGCGCTGATACAAATCTTGACAGATTCAAGGCCCAAACAGATTATATTCAGCAAGTGGTATTGGGTACGTTAGCTGAATAGATGCTTCCTGTTATTGCTATTTCCCTTCTCAGTGTGCCCCTCCCTCAGTCGACAGCAGGAGCTTGTGGGTCATCCTGGGTTCCCCGCTGCCCCTGGGAGCCCACATCCAACACTCACCCCGCCACGCGGCGCCCCCGCCCGCACACCGGGTCTGCCCCGCCTCCAGGGGGAACCTGGAGGCTGTGCACACTTCTCCGCTCTGTCTCTGCCACACCCCTTCAGAGCCAGCATCTCGTCTCCCTGACTGTGCAGAAGATGTCCCCCCACCTTCTGCTCTCCTGCCCCCTGCCCTCCTGCCACCCCCCTCAAAGAGCAGCCAGGCTGACTGTTCAAAAACAGTCCCTTCTCGTCCTTTGGTATTTCTAACCGTCAGTGTTTTATAAGGATGACTTTTTTCCCCTCCTAGAAAACATATCAGAAGACAAAAGAACAACTGGAGGCTGAATTGAAAATGGATTATGAGAATTATTTGGAACTGGAAAGGACCACCCTCATCAACCTGGGCCTGATTAAAGCATCAGACATGACGCCATTCATGGAGATGATGTAGGGGACCTTCCTGTAGGGCGTTTGGGGGGCTTCATGGCACCTTATTCCCTCTTTATCCGTTATTTTTTATGTGAGGTGAACTAGCAAACTTAACATCAAATAGGCTGTAGGCTTTTATTTCATTGCTATTAAAAATTTTGCATTATAACAATTAGTAAGATCTGTTCCAATTTTTAGATTGAGTATGTACTGAACGTTGTACTGACTATGAAAGTTATGGACAGTGAAACTTCTGTTTCCCCGTAGAAAGACACAGCTTCAGACATGCCTTCCACTCCCAGTCCTCAACATCCATTCAGGACCCCAATCCCAGACAAAAGTGAAATTGAATTTTGCTCCTAATCACCTGGTTGCTTTTGGTCACCTCTCCAAAAAGTACTCCCTTTGGGCCACTGCACAGATTTAGGGCTGTGTGCTAAACAAAATATTAGCAAATTGAATCCAGAAATACATGTATAAAGAAAGGATAACACATGAAGATCATGCTGGGTTTATCCAGGGAATATAAAGTGAACTCATCAGCAGAAAATGAATCAATGATTGATCAAAGGAGAGAAATTGTGATACAAAGTAGATGCCTGAAAACATTTGATAAAACTTGATATCCATTCCTGATTAAAAAACAACAATAAATTCTTACCAACTACAGAAAGAAGGGAACTCTCTTAATTTGACACAGGGAATCTAAAACAATCCTACAACGAACATCATGCTTAATGGTGAAAGGTGAAAGCTGGACCTGGACGTGTGGAACAAGACGTGATGCCCACCGTCTTGTCTCCTCGCCAGTACTGTGCGGGGTTAAGCAATATGGGCACGAGATGGAAACAGCGTGGGAGACTCAGCTGGGAAAGAGCCCGGGGTACGTGCGAACCTCAGTACGAGATCCCGTGTCAGAAAAGTGACTGATGAGGGACTGGGGCCGGGCGAGACTAGCAGGAGACGAGGCCGGAAAAGTAGCTTGGAGCCAGATGGTGAAGGCTCCTGTAAATCACGCTGTAAAAAGCTGGGTTACAGTTTGCCCATAATGAAGGATTAATAGAAAGGCTAAGCAGGAAGGTGGCACAATCAACTCTGCGTTCAGGACGATAAGGAATGGATTAGAGTAGGGAGAGTCCTGTGGCAGGAAATCCTATTAGGGGGCCGTGGGACTAGCGTGTGGTGAAAGGTTCGGACGGCCGCACGGAAGCTCACCGGGACAGCAGAAATGGAAGGCGGCTTGGGTAGGGAAGGATGACGCCAAGGTATGTCAGTTCAGTTGCTAGAAGAAATGAACTCAATGTTTTATTTATTAATACTACAAAAGCCAGATAGAGAGCAGCTCTTAACCATCTGTGCGCCTTTGGACAGAGGCTTCTCCACTGTTGAACAGACTCCACGCCTATCAAGGCAGGTTGAGAGTGTTCACCTTGCAGCGTGTTTATGAGGCCGCAGGGAGCACCTGCACTTGAGACGGCGGAGCCCAGCGCGCCGGCATCCTCGCTGCGGGACTGTCTCAGGACGCGTCCTTGCACTTGACCATCTTTTTTCCTTCTTCTGCTGTTTAACCCACACTGAAGTCTTGGGCAAACCACCCAGTCCCAGAGCTTTAAACACTACCTATGTCCCTGGCCTGGACCTATCCTGTAAAACCAAGGCCTGGATGTCCGTTTGACTACTTAATGTCTCCACCGGAATGTACCACAGGCACGTCAAATTTAAATATGTTCAAAAAAGAGTGCCTGCTTTCCCTCCAAAGCCCAGTTTCCCTGCAGTCCCCCCAATCACCCTGCCTCTAGTTCCTCAGGCAAAAAACCCTGAAGTTACCCTTCCTCTCTCTCTCTCACAATCCATACCCAATCGGTGAGCAAGTATTTAAAATACACACAGAAGCCGACCCCTCCTCTCCTCCCCCACGGCCGCCGCCACCACGGACCAAGCCACCATCTTGACTGGCGTGGGTCAGTGCAGCGACCTCCTGACTCTCCTCCCTGCGTCTACGTTACCCACTTCAGTCTCTCTCAGCAGCAGCCGGATGGTGATTTCAGGTGGACGTCAGAGGGCGCCACCCTCCTCCTCAGCGTCCCTGCGCACTCGGAGTAGGACCCGGCGGCTTCCCTGCGGCCTGCGCGCCCTCGTGTGATCAGGGTCTCCACCGCGCCCCCCAACCACGTCGCAGCTCTCGTTCCCCTCCCCTCCATCACACCTCCCAGTCCCCCTGGCCGCCTAGTCACCACACAAGGCAGGCGGGGGTCTGTCCCAGGACATCCGTGCTTGCTGGTCTGCATTTTCTCCAGTGATTTTCCCTACTTTCTTTTCATGTGTTCACTCCAAGAGAGAAAACGGTATTTGGAGTGCCTAACTCTGTGCCAGGCTTTACAGGTTTAAACAGAGGTTCAGGGGAGGCCTTACAGGGAAGGAGGCATTTAAGCAAAGACCTAAGAGGGTGAGGGACGTTGCCCTGCTGTCTCCCAGGAGAGGCCTGTTCCATCACCCAGGGCCCCAGCCCCGCGGCAAGCCGATGGCCGCTTAGGTCTGCGGGACAGAAGCTGGGGCTCCGTGCCAAAGAAGCAGGGACTACAGAGAACAGGAGTGTCATGAATGTGCGACACAAGCTAATACCTGGGGCTGGGACTTTGTTGCCTCAAACAAAAGCGAGATTTTATTAGCATGGAAGAAGCGGGTAATGGAGAGTAAGTGTCTGCCTTTTATCAAGTGAAGAGCTTAGTATAGCATCTGGCACATAGCAGGCAGGAAATATGGTTGCTATCATTTCATCTAATTTATAAATACAACATGATTATAATATCCTGGCTATAGAAACTGAAACATGATGTTTGTCTTACTTATGATAGCAATTATTATTGAGTCAGTATGATATTTGCATTGTGTGTTTACGTCCGCAGTTTTTCCAGGTCTCATCAGCTCATCAGCCTATGTCCATCAATGGGGCCACATAAAACACCCATAGCCCAAGTTTTATGAGCTACGTCCCATCTGCTTATTGGATATCTCACCCCTCTCTGCACAGGGCCTGCAGGTGTGTCCTGTAGACCCTGGAGTAAAGGTGGAGGAGTTAAGTAAATACATTTAAAAACAAACCTGCCACCACCAGACACTCAAGTCTCCCATCTCTCAATGTGCCGCATGGCCCGTAACCCGGGGGGAAGGTGCTGGGACAACACCTCTTTGCTAGCTCAGGTCCTGCAAGAAACAAACACCAAGGCAAGCTTACAGGTGTGAGAGATTTACTGGGAGAGAGAACAGGAGAAGCCAGGGAGAGCCTTGGCCCTCTCTGCGGTCCGGGGCCTTTGGAAGGAGCGAGGGAAGGGAAGAGGATGGGGCAGAACGTCTCAAACCATTCCGCACATCCAGTTCCCTCTGAGTCTGTGGCACTGGAACTCGGGCAAACTCACTGTGCTGCCTCCTCCTTCCCTGGGATCAGTTTCCTCTGAGGCTCTTCAATTCCTCAAGCGAATGCCTTTTTCTCTAGCCCAGGCTCTCCTCTTGCCAGACAGGCCAGACCTCCTGAATTGCAGAAGAGGACACAGTTAAGGCTCAAGCTAGGAAGCTATCTTCCTATAACTGAAAATGTAGGAATATTGGACATGAATAAAAATGGAATTACCTGGTGTCCCTCCTTACATACCCCTTCACCCCAACCTTTACCCCTTTCCAAGTGCACCGTGGGGTCGGTCCAATCTTCTTCTTCTGCCCTCAGGTCCTTTGGTCTCGCTTACAACGTACTGAAAGGAAAAGGAACTTAGGATCCTACCAGACCTGAGTCCAAATCCCAACTTCATCACCCTAGACAAGTTTCACTCTCTCCTGAGCCTTAGTTATAGCATCTATAGAATGGAGATAATACTTATACCTACCTCTTACAAATATCATACAATGTATGTAAAATACTTAAGCTTATAGTTGGTACTTAACAAATGTAGTGCCTGCTTTTCTTGCTTGGTCTCAGGCGCACGCGCGCACACACACACACACACACCCGCCCGCCCCCCACCCCAGATAAACCATAGTGTTTCCTCTCTGCCCTACGTAATAAACTTTGATTTTAACAGGACCCATGCAGGGGCACTGCATGCCTAGTTTAATATTAGCCATTCGCCTTTGATCATTTTAATGAAACCAGACATATTGGACATAGTACTTCAAATCAGAACAGTAGTTTCCTTTTTTGTGTAACTTAAAATGCTAATGGCTTCTCAGAAAATTAATCATTCTAATAATGCTTGATTTATTTAGATTAAGTTTAATTACTGTTCAACTTTACAAATTGCTTTTTACCCCACCAAGAAATGTTGTAGAAGTAGGCATATTCGCAGGCCCCCGGATAAACATCGCCTGTGTGCACTTCAGTTGAAAAGGCTATTGACTCCAGTAGATGATGGTGGCCCAGTCCACTTCCACAGCTTCACTCATCCGCCACTGTAAATAATTAACATCTCATTGGCCCTCAGCCCTGGAGCTGCCTGGGGTAGGTGGAGTGCCACCAGGTTGCTAGGCTGCCAATTGCCGGGTCAGATACTGTGTAACTGAGCAAGGACCCACAGAGCAAATGAAGTATCTCAGTGAAGGGCACATTAAACCCCGTGTGATGAATTCATTCCTTCCATGTCTGATGAGCTGTTTGAGGGTCACAGGCTCATGTAAAACAACTGCACATACAATCGGCCTAGAATCCCAAACACCGAAGAAAACAACCACCCAAGTTTATCGGAGGAAACTATGGTTTCAGAAAAATAGGTATAATTGCTTCCAAATGCTTTCTTGTTCACGAATAGGACATTAAAAATAGACACAATGAGTATGGCAAATAATATAGGTTGTGTTTTCAGTGCAATAATGTCAATTTAAAAGCACAGAAAATCAGTTTGCTCTAAGTCACCTGTATATGTACTATTCTAGTCTTGTTTGTTTGTCTTTTTCCTTAGAGAAGAAAATATAAAACAGATTTCACACTCTTCCCTGTCAACTAAAGATATATTTTCCAGCCCTTTTTATGAGCCA